GCTTACACTATCTCTATATCGAGAATAAGTCAGGAGAACTACAAGAAAATATGGATCCTTATATTTTAGAATATGCTCTCTCCATTTGAATTGATTTCAGCAATGCAGTGTTGCCGTTTCTATAAAAAAGTAGCAACAACTTTGTTATATCAAATAGAAATCAACAATTTATGTGCTAAGAATCTATTGATGCCCTAACTGCATAATATATAGAATGTCATACCACTACCTGGGCCAGTGGAAGGCGTTTTGGAAGGCTAGAATTCGAAATCTCTGGTGCTTCAACAGGAAGATCAAATTACTAAGGTGGACGGACATACTGACCTTCATCAGAAATCCACGGAGGTTCGAAAACGAGGATTAGGAGGAGGAATAGTAGATATTATGGTGAAACTGCATTTATCATGCGATGGGTTTTTTTTCGAAAATGTATTTTGGCACTCACGTATTTTTGTCTGAAAAACCCGAATTTGATAATGAAAATGTGAACAAACCATTATTTATTAAGATATTTGACTATAAAGTTAAAAATGTCACCTTCTTTTTCGCATGTCTTCTGGATGGAATTTAGAACGATTTCCCCTTATGTTTTCATCATATTGGACATTTTATATATATCACAATGTATGACACATTCTTTTCTATTATATGATTCAACTATAAATATGATTTTCTTGAGATTTATCCATATTTGGTGAAAAGAAGGAAGATTATCATTTGAAATAATGGCGTGTGTAATGTCATTCCAAAGCAATCTATTGATTTGACATCTCGTATTATGATTGACTATTGATCAAATCGCCGTCATCTGGAATGCTTGATTACTAAATATGAAAAACCCGCCATAAAAATCATGTTTCCTGTTGAATTTTCTATATAAAAATGTGTCATCGAAGTACATCATGAGTATATAAAGTGTCCAATGACAAAATAAGAAGAGCAAGTAGCTTTAAATGCCCCCAACACAAGGGGAGAAAAAAGTCGAAATCTCGAACTTTTTCTTGAAATACCTCGATAAATAGTGGTTTGTTCACATGTTCATTATCTAATTCGTGTTTTTCAGACAGAAATACGAAAGTACCACAAAAATTTTTCGAAAAAAAAAACCATCGCAAGATAAATACAGTTTATCCCGAAGTCAATATAAAATGGAAGAATATAATATGTTACATTTTAAACTAGTATATTCATGCAAATATAATATCAATCAATCAATCAAAATTATACTTTATTGTCGAAGATAAACTATCTTATAGACAAAGCCTGGGTAGAATTGTTAATATATGAAAACATAGATAAAAAATTCATAAACATACAACATAGATACAGACAAGAGACAAAAAAAAATATATCACATTCTTTGTTCCCAAAGGGGTGAACATGTGAAAACAATAAATACATACATGCCTGCTACAACTGGTATAACATGACACAGTTTTTGTTGTTACATTTAACTATAAAACAGATTCCTAATTGTTAATATATTTTTATAGGTAGAAATAAGGAACCTATTATTGGTGCTGAAACTGCGACCCAAACTATATATTTATTCATGAACCTGTATGAAAATCAAATGAAGAAATGAATTCTAAAATTATTCAATTTCCAATAACAATCCGGTGTGAAGTTTTCTTACCGAATACCACACTAGGTCAATTTACATTCCGGAATTTTTTTGCGGAAATAATTTGACATCTGGTGGTATATTACAAGTAATAATTTTTAGGATTCGTCGATCATGGGTCGCATAACACAAAAATTTGAATAATTCTTGATAGTCCAGAAGATTTGTTATTGTAAAGTTGTGACTACTGATTAGTGATACCAACTGTTCGTTCGTCCTTCTTTGGAGCAACCTGTAATCTACACTTCCTTCCATCATTGATCGAACTTTGTGTGATTCATTTTTCCTCCGTTAGACGGCGGAAGCTAGAGACTGTTTTGAATAAAAAAAAAAGTGATACAAAAAATGATGATTGCACGCAGTTTTCGCATGTTGTCTATACCGAGCGATCTACGTAGGTATGTAGGTATACGACTTTTCAATTTTGAACCGGTATACAGGGTGTTGGTGTACAGAATCAAACAAGAGGTGGGCAACTTCATAATAGCAAGGCGTTTATTACTAGATCAACCAATTTTGATTGTTTTTTTTTTGTCTAATTCCGACATTCCGACACGATACGAATTCCAGATGTCAATAACCATTCAGCCAACACACTTGACTTTATTATAGATAGACCATGGACGTACCAGCCTCCACTTGACAATTCTGATCACACACTCATCTCCACAACCTGCCCATTATTCATTCCATCAACTGCACCAGCACCCCCACGTCATGTAGTGGTCGACGGAGTTTCATCTGACTCTCTTATCATACATGCTGGTAAATACTGTCTGTAGGTTAATCGAGGAGGTGGTACATTCATTATTCCGAATTTTTTGGGATTTTCTCTCCTCGTTTCTATGAAATAAAAATATGAATATTATCTCAATATACGTGTAGTAAGGACAAATCAGATGATTTGCCCCAAAATGTCACTGCGTTTAAAGAATTTTCCTATCAGAGAGCCTAAAAGAAAAATTCACTAGCTTGTCAGTGACAATTTGTATTGAAAACATTTTTGCTATATACCTTTATTTCCCTTCTCCAAAAATTTTTTCAATACAAATTGTCACTGACAAGCTAGTGAATTTTTCTTTTAGGCTCTCTGATAGGAAAATTCTTTAAACGCAGTGACATTTTGGGGCAAATCATCTGATTTGTCCTTACTACACGTATATTGAGATAATATTCATATTTTTAATTTATAGAAACGAGGAGAGAAAATCCCAAAAAATTCGGAATAATGAATACATGCTGGTGTTCCGCAAGGATCAATTCTAGCACCAACACTATTTCTACTCCATATCAACGATTCGTTGGAAGCAACTTCATGTCCAGTACACAGCTTCGCAGATGAAAGTATCCTCCATACCGCCTTCTCTTCCAGGGCTCCAATACCAGCCAGGTAAATCAGAAACGAACGAGCAAGAAATGTTGACAACATAAATATGGACTTGATGGCAACAATTCTCGAATGGGGATCCAATCACTTGGTAGATTTCAATGCAAACAAAACACAAGCATGCCTTTTCTCTAGATAAGCCGATCTCACTGTGCCCAATATAAGCTTGTTAGAAGTAAGCATACCTTTGAAGACATCAATTTCGATGCTGGTTATTACTATCAGCAATATTCTTTCTTGGGAAAATCACGTGAGATCAATTGCTGAAAGTGCATCCCAAAAACTTGGTTTTCTGTTTCGAGCCAGGAGCTATTCCACTTCCAGTCAGCTGCTTATGATCTATAAGGCACAGATCCGACATGTCCTGGAATACTGTTCCCATATTTGGAGTGTAGCACCCAAACATACCCTGAAACTGTTGGATTCTGTCCAAAAAATGGCATTTCGTCTCGTGGGTGATGCCTCGCTCACAAACTCACTCACTTCTCTGGAACACCGTAAAAAAGTTGGCGATCTGGCTCTATTTTATAGATTTTTTCATGGACGATGCTCTTCTGAAATATCAACAATTGTTCCGTCCTTGGCAGTCCCCGCGAGGTTAACCCGTCGAGTTGAGACTTCGCACCCCTTCGTGGTCACTTTGGAGACCTGCAGACTGCAGAACATCTCTTTCCAAAGACTCATTCATCCAACGAACAGCGAGGCTCTGGAACACATTGCCAAAGGAGGTGTTCCCCGAGGCATATAACCTCCAGAAATTCAAGAAGAACACCAATTCCTACCTTATTTCTCTTGGTTCTCACGATGTTCTCTGAACATTACAGGATATCCCTTCTCGTGAGATCCAGAACATAAAAAAAGCTATATAACTCAGGAGAATGGGACGGATCCTCAGTGTGCTGCGGATCATCACGCATGGAATGGACACATACATACCTCATTTTCCGAAATGACCATCACCCTCGGAACCCTGGTTCAACAAGAACTGTTCTAGAGCTAACCATCTGAGACGATCTATCATACAGTGGAGTGAAGATAATAGGATAGAGGAAAATCTTACAGTCAACTCCACCAAAACAATACTTTATTTTAACATCACCAGGACATGTTTTGAAGCTTCAAACCTTCATCATCAGCAATAATGGGTACAAGAAGTGTTGTTGTGGCGAAAATTCCTTCTTTGATCCAAGTTGATCCTTGAATTCAAAGAGATATTCCTTGGGGTGAGTTTGTTACTGAAACATTTATTGTTGAACCATATGTCTAGCATAACTAGTTACTTTTGACGTCAGCATGATAGACAATATGACTTTCGCCACCGAAGATCAACTGGAGATTTACTTCAGAAATGGTTACGGATATCAATATGGATGTTGGGATTGAAGAATTTCGTGTTTTTATTTCACATCAAATAGCCAAAAAATATATGAGGTGTCCCATTTGAGAAACTCGAGAAAATCCACTTCGAATAGTTCCGAATTGAAAAATAATTTTCAGCCACCCTGTATAACTTGAGGGTATGAAAATCCTTCACAAATATCACGAATCATTTCATCAAATGATATCGAGATTATTTTCTCTTGAATTTCATAACTGTGACGACAGTGATTTTTTCAGTATCCATCTGCAGATGACATTATGTCTACAAAAAAATTAATAATTTTGACTTGATCGAGATAAAGTCTACGATATTATAGGAGTGTTTGGAGGTCACAAGGATGCTTCGAAAAATGTGCCAATATATAGGGCATTCCATTTAAAAAATATGATTCCTACGTTCTAGATTTTTTCAGTGCGTCCTGTACCTCTATGTCTCATTCACATTCGTATTTGAATCAAGTTTCAAGCTATTATAGAACTCGAGCAATCGAGCTCCGACGCACCCACCCTGTGTATCAATGAATATATTTTCGGGCATCCTATTTATACTATATATACAGATGAGTTGAAGCATGTTATTGTAAATGTTGAAAAAAAAAGCGAAAAATAGCTACAGTTTTTTTATTCATTCATCTTTCCTCTAACCACACTTTTGGTCCATCTCTCATCCTCAGGAGTAGGTTGATCTTGAGCTCAATTTCTTCTACTGACTTATACTCAGTGTGGAATCTGTATCGCCTTATCACAGTTGCAATAATCGTTTTCAAATTCGATAAAGCATATCTCCATCCTAAAAAGCAGAAAGTTTTTTAGCGAAGCAATTTTTCATTTTCGAAAGACTATTCGTTTTTCCTCTGATTTCGATGGGTGTTATTTAAGTATCTGGTCAAATACAATTTAAATTTTTCGTTTATATTTCAATATTGTTTTTTTTTATTGATTTGACCAATATGTCAAAAATGTTTGTGTCCCCTGTAGTAAGCAATACGTTTACTGTTGTCGGTAGCTGAGCCCCGACCTTCACAAGATCTTCAAAGAGATCATTTCTAGGAAATTTTCTGCAGCTAAAAATTATATGATTTAGATCCGCAATTTCATTATCTATGTTACATAAGGGAGAATCTATCACCCCTATTTTATTCAGATGATATGGAAAACATCCATGATTTGTTTTCTATCTCGTCATAATAGTACAGTACTTTTTATTTGCTTCATGATCGTAAATATAATTTATTTTATTAGGCAGTTCTTTATGTATCCTAAAATATGAGCTATTTGAATTTTCTGTTATTTTTGTCCAGTAATTGCCCCACTCAATATAAAAATTGTTTTTGAATAAGTGAAATAGATCTTCTCCAGATGATAGAGTTACCGAACCATTTAGTGGTGGTGTTTTTAATACTCTCGAGCACAGATTTGGAATCTGATATAATAATTATGACACCAGTTATGTTATTCTCCGCACACCATTCTAAAGATTTCTGAATAGCGATGTCCTCAGCCGTGAAAATGCTGCATATCTTCGGAATCTGGAATTTGTGTGTTTCGTTTTCACTTGATGCGACAAAGAAGGCACTACCGACTCCTTCCAGTTTTTTGCTGCCGTCTGTATAAATTATTGTTTTATTATCGTAATTGTTGATTTCCGTTTTCAACAGAATTTCGTTAAAGGAGGTTATTTCGTTATAATTGGGAAATATGAAATGCTTTGTTTTCAAGATACCTCTTGGTGTTGCAGTTGAAAGTATTGATTGTTGTTTTTCATGATTATCCTGTATAAGCTTCCATGAAGGCAAAATTTAGTCTGGTTGGTGACTGAGAAAGTCTAGTCAGAATTCCAGAATAATTTGAGGTCACCTACATCAAAATTTGGAGATGAATCAATTTTTTATTATTTCCTCAGAAACCTAGATTTGGAAATTTGATACGTGACAAAAAAGTTGTATTTTCAATTGTTGAATCTGATAAAAATATCCATCTTGAAAAAAAACTATGAATTAGGTACCTTATTTACCATAAATATCAAAAAGGTACTGCGACGCCACTGGAATCATTATTTCGAATCTGGAAACACTAGAAGAAGCTTCTTGATACTGTTTACGGAATTGCTAAGTATAATCGAAATTCCAGAAACAGAATTTTGAGTAATTGATAAAAAACGATTTTTTATTGAAACTCTGACACCCAGTATCTCGAGAACATTTCTTTTCGTCTTTCAATCACCCAAATAATAACCCATTGAAGTTTGGCCAGAGACTCAAATAAATAAACCCTGTATCCAAACATGTCGATTCGCCAAGAGATTATTGACTTACCTATGCAGTTTCTAGGACCATAAGAGAAGGGAATGTAAGTACAAGGATGCCTTTTAGATACCTCTTCTGGCAGAAAACGGTCTGGATCGAATTTGAAAGGGTTCGGCCAATATTTTGGGTCCCTGTGAATATGTACAGTACCAAAACCTGCAGATGATCCAGCAGGAAGCGTAATTCCATCACCTGCAAAACAGGTACTGAATTTGGACAACCATTTTGCGAGGAAAAAGTGCGAAGGCAGTCTTTCGGGACTGCCGATAGCAGTGGAAACTATAAGTAACTTGTGAATTGTATCGTCGAGCTATTTCATTATAATTTTTCTACTTCTTTTTAGTTCACTTGCATTCCCCAATGTTGAACAGTTATTCATAATCTCCGACCCAAAAAACCCGAGATACAAATTAAGAAAAGAATCGGATCATAATTATAACACCTGTCCGCTATATTGGATCCGCTATTTTGAATTTCCAAATTTTGACGAAGGAATCATATAATTTCCGACCCCGAAAACTCCCAGATACAAATTTTGAAAAGTATCGTAACTCGTGCACCATATTGGATCTGCCATATTGAATTCCCAAATTTTGACGGCAAAATCATAATTTCTTACCCTGACCGGTAGTGTACAGGGTGTACCACTAAGAAAGGAAGCCGGCTGTATCTCGGAAACTATTTGCCGCACAGGTTTCGGAAAAAAATATTTATTATAAATGTGGCCAAGAGAAATATCTGTAAAGTATTTTCAAGTTTCCAGGACAGCCGCTAGAGGGCGTAATTGCATCGGCCAGTTCAATAAACGGGTTTTTATGAAAATTTGATATATCAAGACATATCAAAAACACTTTCTTCGTGTTTTCGAGTTTATTTCCAATCATTTCGGACGAAAAAAATTGCGCTAGCTCATTAAATAAAAGAGGGAGGGAAGGATGAATAGTACTTTGAGAGAACTCTTATTACTAGGTACAGTTTGGTGTAACGGAATTCGATGATCTCGGTTTCATTATGAAGGATTTTTCTAGATCTTTCAAATAAATCACGAATCAAGTCGATATAAGTCCCGTGGTGGCCGCTAGATGGCATCGTTTGAAAAATCAGCCGATTTGCCATTTTTTTTCGAGAATTTCAAATGGAATCATATATTTTTCCTACTTCGATATGGAAGTAAACTAGAAGTGAAATGATGAAAACCGCGAGATGATACCTCTTGAAGAATCGGAGAAATACTCGAAATAATATTATCAAAATTTAAACTGCATAGGAACTGAAATAGTTAGTAGCATTAGTGTCTTCCACGATGTTCAAATTGTCTGCTATCATTCTCAATGCCATAGATCTAAATATACACTCAATACATAAATGGAGTCTCCGTCGAGTGGATAAGCAGCTTCCACTTCGGCCATTGTTATGCTTTTGATGGCAGTTTTTATGCTATTGATCATATCGTTCCTAGTTGTTGGTCGGGTTTGATAAACAATATCTTTCAGTCTCCCCCATAAATAAAAATATAAACAAGTCAAATCTGCAGATTCACTAGCTATAGTGAATTTTTCTTTCAGGCTCTCTGATAGGAAAATTCTTTATTAAAAGCAGTGAGATTTTGGGGCAAATCATCTGATTTGGCCTATAGAAATAATATTTATATTTTCAATATTACTAGGGGAGAAAATCCTGAAAAATCTGGAATAATGAACGATTATTGAAGTTTGATTTCTCTGGTGAATATTTTCATAATATTATTTCGAGTATTTCACTGGTTCCTCAAAAGGTATCAATTTGCGGTTACCACCATTTTTCTTCTCGTTTGCTCTACTTTCATATTAGAGTGAATTGGATATATGGTTTCATTTGAAATTCTCGAAAAAATAATGGAAAATTGTCTGATTTTTCAAACGATGCCATCTAGCGGCCACCACAGGATTTGAATCGACTTGATTCGTGATTTATCTGGAAGAACTGAAGAAACCCCTCATAATGAGACCAAGTTCGTTGAATTCCGTTACACCAAAATGTAGTAATAAGAGTTTTTTCAAAGTACTATTCATCCTTTCCTCTCTCTTTTATTTAAAGAGCTAGCGCAATTTTTTTTGATCGAAATGATTGGAAATCAACTCTAGAACATGAAAAACGTGTTTTTGATATATCTTGATATATCAAATTTTCATAAAAACCCGTTTATTGAACTGGCCAATGCAATTACGCCCTCTAGCGGCTGTCCTGGAAACTTAAAAATAATCTCCAGTGCGGTAAATAGTTTCCGAGATACAGCCGGCGTCCTTTCTTAGTGGTACACCCGGTACAATGACATTCACCATGAATATCGATAAATTTACCCACTGTGACGCCACTGGAAATATTATTTCGAATCTAATTGCACTAGAAGAAGCTCCATATTACCATTAACACAACCACAACGTTTTATTGAAATTGATGAGAAAAACATTGAGAAATGAATAGAAAGAAGATTTTTCATGGAAATAATAATACCCTGTATCTCGAAAACGAAGCAGGCTAGGACATATGTTAATATGAACTTTATTTCCTAAAATATCACAAGGAATCACCCCTTGAATTTTTTCGGAGTTATTTAGATACACCCTGTATATAGGTTTCGGAAGCTACCAACCTAAATCAATATCTTCTTCTAAGGTTCTGCCTAAAATGGCAGCTATGGGAAACAGTCTCAATGTTTCTTTGATCACTCGCTCTGTATAATTGAATTTGGACATGTCTTTTGATTCCACAGCACGATCTGACCCAAGGACATCCATAGCTTCTTCATAGACTTTTTGCTGAAAATATCAAATTGATAGTACCAAAATATTTGCAGATGTTTTTTAAAGGAATTTCCAAGATTGAATTCAACAGTGTTGATATTTGTTTCACACATCGTGGAAAAAGTTTCCTAAATCCTGACTGAGAATGTAATGATGCAAGTAGATTTTGAGGAGAATATCGCACAGGTTTTGAGGAATTCAAGAAATGTATTTCGCAAAAAACTGTTGAAAAATTTTTCTGAAGGAGAACCTTCGAATTACCTGAATTTCTTGGTGCATACCTAACATCACACATAAACAGCAAAAAGTTGAGGCTGTTGTTTCAGTACCCTGAAAAGGAAATATATTGAGAAGTTTTCATAATAAAACTGAATCTAAATAAGACTTTTTGGTAGGTAGTGATATTTCATATAGTTGATGATGGAATATATTGTACTCACTGCTGCCAAGAAAATTTCAACTTCTTCATTTAACTCTTCTTCAGTGAAATCCGAGTTTTCTAGGATCAAGTCCAAAAACGCCATTCTTTTTTTCACGGACTCTGAAATATGAAACATAAGAATATTATATGATAACAGGAATGAGCAATTTAAAAAATCATCCTTCTTCTCCAGAACTCCGAATTGTAACAACTTTCAAAACTCACCATCATCAATTTCAGCATAAACACAAGACTGATACAGTGAGTGTTTTCGATTGTGCTCCATTAATTTCTTCTTAACTACCTGAAACGCTGTGTATTTATTGGAATGTTCTAGAAATAGTACATTGTTTTATTAGGATCAAATGTGACACTTTGTTTGACAAGCGATATTTGCGTCTGCGAGGCGGAGCGACCACGAAGCCGAGCAAGCAAATTTTGCCAGCCACAGTCACTTTTGATCCGAATGAATCATGCTATTTTTTTTGCAATCGAAATAATTGATATCTGATTAATAGAATATACGTGAGGTTATCACTATTTTGGATTACTTCAGCATGTCAGTGTCAAAGCAGCTAACATATCAGCTGCCATCCGACACTTTTTTAGTTCCTATGAGTTAAACTTCAACTTTATCTCCTACACACCTAAAGTGTTGCCTAGCAACATACATACTAATCATGATATTGTGTCAGTAAGAGAAAAGTCGATCAATTTCAACACCTAACTTTGCAACGAAAATGGACGACTTTTGAGCCGATTGCAGAAGAAGGGAATTTTTTCAACTCACGGTAGATGTGGTGTCTTTGAATTTTTTGTTCAATCGGTGAAACGTTCGACTCAGAGGTGACAGTTTCCATACTATGTCAGAGTGGTACCATAATCGAAAAATTCTGTAGGTGACAATCTCCATGAGTCTGAAATAAAAATAATATATTGTTTAACGAGCACGCAATGATAGTCATTGTCCACGAGGATGAAGTTTATCAGGGAAATTTTTGATTTCTCTTGAAATTTGACATTTCATGGAAGATGAAATTTATTGTGAAATGATTAATAACACAATAAAGTCATTGTATTATCGGATATTTGAAATGAAATTAAATACATACAATCTAGGGGTATTCCCGGTCCTCGTATAATGCTTCGTATTATCGTATTTTCGTATCGTCGTATTCAGCAAACTAATCTGATTGGTCGTTTAGGATACGCGGTCCTTCGTAACTTTACACCACCATTTTCTTGTGTAAGATTACAAAATTGCCGTTCTTACGAAACTGTTCTGACAGAATTTTGTCCCGTGTCCCGTGTTTCAAGTGATGAGGTTAGGGTTATTGTTATTATTCAAAATTATGATTAACGAATTTCTATTGTTTGAGCTGCGTGGCCTGAGCACAAAATAAATACCTCTGATTATGGTATTGAGAATTTTGATTTGGATAAAGGTAATTTAAAAATGGCAAGAATAAGAACAAGAACTATGTGTCAATCTTGAAGAATGGCTTGAATTATTAAAATTGTATTTTCAGTCATACAGTTCTAGCTCTGTTTCCAATACAGATGAAGAATTAGAATTTTTCAATTTCGCACTGGAAGCTTCGGAATAAGCTGACAGTTTACATTGCTATCCATGGGTCATTTGATCATTCCAGAATTACGTCATTTGACAGGTTGCTGAGGGGCAAACATTGTATTTTGTCAAGATATGTCATAGAAAACCAGAATTAGTGGGATCGTTTTGAGTTGGAATCAGAAAGAATTTCATAATTTTGTTTGGTGGCCTGGGCAATGCTCATCAAAGGTAACCTTACAGATAGTTTGTGTGCCCCTCAAGAAACCATGTCAAGATCACGTGTTCTAGAATGATCAATACGTAGGCCATTTTCGTAAATATACGAAGTCAGATACGAGGGCTCTGGAATACCCCTATTGTACCTCATTGATTCTTCGAAAAGACTACAACAAGAGCAATTTTGTGTTATGGCCGTAGGAAATAGTATATTGATTAACGAGCAGGGAATATTAGTGATTTCCTACGAGAATGAAGTTTGCAGCATGAGCCATAGGCAAAAGCTGCAATCATTCGAGTAGGAAATTAGCATTCCGTGCAAGTTATACACTATAATTTTTCTACAGCTGTGACAGATAGCAGCAGCATTTTCGATCTCTTCGTCTTGTAGATATCTTATTTCCTGTCAAGTAATGCTCATCTATCAGACAGAGCTGTCATTGCTTGCAATTTGACATTCCATGACCGATGAAATTTTTTTGAAATAATTACACAATGGAGTCATTATGATATCAAATACGGAAATAAAATTGATGACATAAAAAGTACCTCATTGATGTATCGAACACAGTAGAACAAGAGCAATCTTGTGGTATAGCCGTAGAAAAAATATATCTCTTCACTCCAAAATCCTCTCATTGTAGGTACTGTCCAGAGGATGTTCGAATACAGGGTGATCCGGTTTGTGATACAAAAAATTCAACAGTATGATGTACATACATTTAAACGCGTCGTTTTCGAGATATATTGAGTGTTGAAAATATGAGTCTGAATATTGTTTTTGATGAAAAGTTCGAAACGGTTTGAGATAAATCATCATAAGTTCTCACAGATACTAAATTTTTCACGCTGTGTAAGATTAAATGAATATTATTTCATGAAGTAATTCAGTGGTGTATGAATCTGGGGGTGATGAAGAAACAAATTACCCCAATTTTTATATTTGCATTTCTTTCTCGATTCGTGGTTCAAAATCTGAGGAAACATATGTCTCTGCATGAAAAAGCTCACCGTGAATTTTGATGCGATTCGCCGTTTTTGAGTTTTAATCGGTTCAGAAATAACAGTTTCAGTTCAACATTGTTCCTGTACTCCATATCAACGATCTATTGGGAACAATCACTTGCCATATCCACAGCTTTGCAGACGATAGTACTCTCCATACTGCGTTGCCTTCTAGAATTTCCATTTCTTCACAGGAAACTGCAACTGCAGGTCAACGCTGTCAATGCAGATCTTGCGGAAATCTAGAAAGGCGGAACTAAGTATGCCTGATAAAACAATGTCTGGTACCACCATTCCCACCATGACCACTATATCTAGGCACGGTGTTACCATCAGCAATTCTCTCACATGGGGAAAATCATGTTCGATCCATCGCAAAAGCTGCTTCAATGGAAATATTCTCGAGAAAGTTGAAAAAAATTCCAACAGCTACCTCCTCTTCCTATCCTCCCTAGGTACGCACGAATATTATAGGAATATACTTTTGTGCGCTCCAAGAGATGAACAAAAATAATGAAATAAGAGTGCTATGTTCACTGTTTCATCTTATGAGCGTGAGAAGTTCAGTATCTCGAATACGACACTGTGTAGTGAATAACCGTATACATTCCGCAAAACATTGAAACATGATTTACTATTATTTTAAAAGATACTCACTTGTCAAGTACTTCTCCAAAATCACTGTCACCCTTTTGAATGTTCATCTCTACACCCATTGCTGTTTCTAAAACATTCAGATCGTATTTCAAAAAATCACCAAACACAATAATAATTATCATAATAATATGTTGATTATTTCAATTTATATGCATCTTTCCAATAATAATATCTGATATTTACGACAAATGATATCGAGAGTGCAGTTCGTTATCAGGCTATACAGGTTAATGTCTTTTTGTCCAACATATTTCTTCAGCAGCTCGGAAAAAATAACACTTTGCTCAGAAAAAACTTCTATGAACGAATCCAGAATTCTTTGATTGAACGAAGGCGCTATTATCTTTCTATGGTGCCTCCATTTCTTCGCTAAAAATAGTAACACAATTATCATTTCCATGAAGCGAAACAATTGTTTTACTCTTATACGAAATTACCCACCATGTGATGTCAGTAAACCATATCCAATAAAATCGCTGACAAATCGATACATGTCATCTTTATTCAGTGCTTTTGGACTATTCAAAATTGTCTCTATATGATCAGGGTTGGACACAAGATAGACCAACTTCGGTCCTAGCCATACTTTTGACAATCCTGGTATATCTTCCTGTATTTTCAGGAGCTTTTTGATGATATCTGAAAAAGTTCAGAATATGAAATCAAAGTACCTACCTATACCCCTCAAATAAGAAATAGATCTTGAAGTAAATAAAATAATCTGTGCAGAAACTGCTTATTATACTTATAATACGCATGATGGTACAAAGAGAAAGATTCTTTAAGGTACAAACTGAAATGGGTGATAGATTTCATCATTTTAATCGAAAAAGTTTACATAAACATGGGTCTCATCTCGATCAGTTATTGATGGAAATATCTTGTTGCCTTCTAGAGGTATCAATTCGAAATTGGGTGCGGTCAATGCTTCCGAAATCTACAGGGTGATACATTTTCGGGGGTAGTGGCTTTATGGCGCATGTGATCTATGGTAAATTACCACCATACATCTGGTAATTGTGGACTTATCAATCCACAATACATATATTTCGTACTATTCGTCATTCTCAATATTTTTAGAGAATTTTGTTCAAGAATAAAATTCAATATGAAGAAAATATGAAATCCACATGTTTTAGAACGAATGTGCTTATTTTCTCGAACACGATTTATTTCTAGAAAAAAAATTTGGAGGAATAAAGAAACCTCTACCCCCAAAAACTTATCACCCTGTAGATTTTAAAAACTTTTGAAACTTTCGAAATTTTGATTTTCTAGAAAATATATACTACGCCAAATTTCAGATTGACATCTTCAAAAGTGAGCAAGATATTTCAATTAATAGAAAGAAATAATTAAAATTTGACCATCTGTAGCTCCGCTACTGATCGACATCGGACTCATGTTCACATAAACGTTTTCAATTAAAACGATGAAGTTTAACACCCATTTCAGTTTGTACCTTAAAACCTGAATCACCCTGTAGATACTTGTTTATGACGATGTATTCATTCTGAATTTCAGATGAGGGGTTTTGTATTCATGGATTTTGAGATATTTTGAAATTTTTGCCAGTTGAGAGGTTTTACAAACGTATCCCCACCAAACAATCGAACGATTACCTAGTGGTAGCTAAACATCGAAAGACTATCGATAGTAATGTGCTATCGGTTTAATCGATAGTTTTCATCAATAGTATCGATAGTTTCAGGTTTGCTCGCATTCAGAAGATCAACAATCCGAAACCATCAGACTGGCTCACGCAGTTTCACAAAACTATATGAACAGAAACAAACCTTTGACAATTGACACATTACACATATCAGTTCGTTGATGTGAAGCGGCGTTCACAACCAAACTTTTTCGTTTTGCTTTTCACGTTTCGCATTCTGATTGGTGAAGCAGAATCTGGAATTGACATGACGCAAGAAGCTGAATATTTTCAGCTTTTTGCGTTGCAAGATACCACAATGTGGAAAAATGCTAAGATGTAGGAAAATGGTAGAATTAGACAATTACTAAATACTTTTGACCTATTCTCACACCACACCTCAATGATAGTGTCATCCAATATTTTCCTTTTTAGGATTTGAAATTTTGGTGAAGGACCATCATTCACCATTTTATTCGAGAAAAAAATCGATCATCCTGAAGATCCTGTTCCTGTGAAGTATGCGAAGTGTGCCAAAATCACGTTCGACAATTCCAGTACATGCAAACATACATACAAACATACATACCGAGCTCATAAAAGCGTGGTAAAAATGGGGGAGGGCACTTACCATTACCGTTTCCCAAAAACATGTGGGCATTTCCAATGAAGGGTAAACAGGGAGGTCCTTTAACTTTTGCAGCATGAATGTATAATTTCCTTCGTTTCCAGCTGAACTGGATATACCAAACCAACAGGCTTCCACAGACAAATATCAACAAGTAGTTCTGGATGCTGTACGGTTCCAGACTGATTTGATATGATTCAGCCATCGCTGATATACTGAAGATTCCACTCAACTATCTGTTGAACCGATCAACCTGACATTTACCTATGAAAGCAATTATAATTCTTCAGGTTATAGTTACGAGGAACATGATTGCTCAAAATCCTTCTACACTAACCGGTAAAAAAACGAAATTGATCGCCCTGTAACATTTTTAATTCTTGTCCGATTATGGTGAAATTTAGACCAAATCGTAGATATATGTTTCTGGGTGTTAGCCTGAACTTGAAATCTTCAGGGAAAAACAAGAGTTACTCATTCACCCTTAACTTCTCAACGCGTTGTGGCAAAGGCAGGTTTAAAATTAACTTTATCATATTTTGGATTAAAGTGTTATCCCTTCTTAACATGTCGATTCTTGATTCATGTCAATATGTTCTTTCTTGATATTTGATATGATTCAGCCATCGCTGATATACTGAAGATTCCAATCAACTATCTGTTGAACCGATCAACCTGACATTTACCTATGAAAGCAATTATAATTCTTCAGGTTATAGTTACGAGGAACATGATTGCTCAAAATCCTTCTACACTAACCGGTAAAAAAACGAAATTGATCGCCCTGTAACATTTTTAATTCTTGTCCGATTATGGTGAAATTTAGACCAAATCGTAGATATATGTTTCTGGGTGTTAGCCTGAACTTGAAATCTTCAGGGAAAAACAAGAGTTACTCATTCACCCTTAACTTCTCAACGCGTTGTGGCAAAGGCAGGTTCAAAATTAACTTTATCATATTTTGGATTGAAGTGTGGTCTCTTCTTAACATGATCATTCTTGATTCATGTCAATATGTTCTTTTTTTATGAAGATACAAGTGTTTCAAAAAAATATGGAATTTGTAAATTTCTATCACCAATAATTCAGAACCATTCCACAACCTTCTGATTCATCATGTTTTGGATTGAAGTGTGATTCCTTTTCGACCCTTCTCAACACAATGACTCTTGATTCATGTCAATAACTTCTTCTCAATAGTAGATAAGAGTTTTCAGAAAATATGGATTTTTTTAATTTGAAGCATTTCTCACGACTGCTCAGCTTGGGAAAGTTGATCAACTCGATGCCACAGCGGTTGGATGTTGTAATTCAAATTCGAAGAGCTCGTTATTGACTACATTTAGGAGGTCTGCTATCCGTTCGTTTTCACTAATTGAGGTTTATCTTTGCTGCTGAGTGCTAAAAAACGGAGTGGAGATGAGTCATATCAATTTTCAGATATTTTTTCGAGTTGTTCATCCATAAGTTCATGCAGGTTCTGGGAATTTAAGAAAAACATTATTTTCTTAAAACACTTGTATCTTCTCTCAGAAAGCAGATATTGACGTGAATCGAAAACCATTGTGTTAAGGAAGGATCACACATCAATGTAAAACAAAATGAAATTATGTCTTACCACTCACTTTTGCCACAGGGCATTAAGAAGTTGAGCGTGAAATGTAAAATGAGCAAGCTATCTGTTTTTTATAACCTGATATCCAGGTTAACATTTCGAAACGTGAATCTATGATTGGGTCGGAATTTCACCAGAATCGTGCAAACATTGAAAAATTTGCAGGGCAACCAATTTGGTTACTTTCTAAGATGGAAGATCGAATTGATTCCTGCAAAAAAACACAATTGGTCGCACTCGGAAGGGAGCGGAGGCCTCCCAGAACCAGAATAGTCCTGAATGATCATGAGTTAGAGTGGTTTTCACAAGTTAAATACTTAGGTGTGTGCATTGACAAAAAGCTCATCTAGGCCCAGCACATTGAACAGCAAGTTTCAAAAGCTAAACGAGCCATTGGAGCCCTGTATCCATTTCTAACAGACGAAGTCAATTGGGTTTGAGATAAAAATTTCATGGCTATCAGGCCAATTCTACTGTATGCTTTGGTAGTCTGGGGCCACACAGCTTAATCTCATATCACCAGATTACGAACATTACAAAACAAAATCGCGAGAATGGTGTTAGGATCTCCTTGGTATGTTCGGAATAACCAGGTCGCCAGGGATCTGAAACTCCCTTCAATCGTGTCTGTCATTAGAGAACGAGACATCAAGACTTTCGAAAAAGCTGAGGTTCATGAGAATCAGCTTCTTCGAAATGCAGTTGATCAATCAAAGTTCTCAAGACCGAGATTGTCCATAATCTAGAAAATATATCAACATTATGACCAAATTCACTCTTCTCAAGTTTATGATATTTATTTGTTCCGTTCGATCTTTTTCAATTCTCAGAATGTATTTCTGAAACTTTTTTGAGGCAGAAGGGCTGTTCGCATCAAACTTCAATACCGTTTTCATTTTGTTTTGTTTTTGTTTCATGATAGATATCAGGATAAGAGGGACTCTTTATACAAATAAAAGAAAGATTTTAAAAACAGGGTGACCAATTTGGTTAATGTTTCTTGTGGCCAGTATTTTTTGCCGGTGATTGTGTATTATATATCCTACTGTGTGTATAGGAACTTTCAGACAGTTCTTGCTCAATGTTCTTTAAAAAAACCATATTCCCTATATTAACAAGTCATACATTTTGTGCTAAGCTTTATACAGTTACAAAGTTCTGAAGTTATATTGGTAGTGAAGAACTGTGACTCACCAAATCATTGGCAGCCCTGTAGCATCCTTTATTTCTTACTGTGAACTTCTCCACTGAGCTATGCCACGACCCTTGAGGTGCACCCGACTCGCTGTATGCTATCGATATTTAAAACTGATCTAATTGATCTGGTATTACTTATTATTCTGTCATTACCTTTCTCTTTCATTTTTCCAGAAAATAACTTCTCAATTTTTATTGCGGTTTTATAATACGGTGGTAGAAGAATTGAAAGGAATAAAAGGAAGGACAAATGCAAACAGAGTATTTATTTGACAAATTGAAAATAGCTATTGGCTGAATACTCTAAATGCTTAAATTTTTCTCAAAAAATGGAAATACGTAGGAAACCATAATATTAATGTTTTCTGTGAAACCGGAAAATAACTAGAGACGAAAATAATACTCATTTAACATGCATTAGGAATAATTAATTATATATTTAAAACTCTTTCTACTTGTATTTGACCTTGATCCTGCGCTAATAACTGTCCATTGTACAACCTCTTACTATCAAACAATTGAAAGAAACATGGACGTCCATGGTCATTATTGAGGAAAGGATAGCCAAAGTATAGTTGATCAGAAGTAGTTATAATATTCAACTATAGTGTTGTAAAACTCTAAACATTTTCACTTTAGTTCGAATTTTGTGATCATAGCCTGATCAAATGGTGTTCAGTAGTGCTTGTCTTCGTAAGTTGAATCCCATCGTAGGTTACTCAACAGGATCATATGTTTCTAGGCGTCCGGAAGCGAATAACCTGAAAAATTTTGGAGTTTTTCCGGTATTCCGGTCATATCTTGCAAGCGACTTATTTGACGAAAAATATCACATCATTCAAAGTTGAAGAACATGAAATTCTGCGTGATGCCTTTATCTTCCTTATTCCCCAATTCATAAAGTCGCTATCGGCATTTGAAAAATGTCAAAATTTACTACGCAGCGGAATTTTAAAATCGATCTATCTCGAAAATATTGAATGCTATCGGAACAAAACAGGAGTACCATTTATAAGTAAAAATGTTGAGATCTCCATATTTCCTTGAGACCTTCCAAAAATTCCACTGACAAAAAAGTTGGGTTATTGTTATTTCATCAACTTTTGATGTACTATCTTCTGACATTCAATCAGAACAGAACAGGGTGATCAGATTTCTGAATCTTGACTTATATCTCGGAATTTTACATTCAAAATTCCGAGTTATAACGCAGAATTTTAAAATTCCGAGTTATAACTCGGGATTTCACATCCAATATTCCGAGTTATAACTCAGAATTTTAAAATTCCGAGATATAAGTCGGAATTTTGATGTAAAATTCCGAGTTATAACTCGGAGTTTTGAAATTCCGAGCAATAAGTCGGAACTTTGATGTAAAATTCCGAGTTATAACACGGAATTTTGAAATTCTGAGTTATAACTCGGAATTTTGGATGTTAATTTTTTTTTATTTTACGTGTCCCTTCCAGGCCTTCGTACGAATCTGCTCCCGTTCTCCACATGAAAATGCAAGTTGAAAAATATTCTGTACCTATACGTACGTCAATGGGAATACTAGCGTATACAACAATCCGCAATTTATAATTTCAATCCAATTATTAAAGAAAATAATAATGTTATAATAATTTGTCTCTTTTCTAGATTTGCTCATGACATTGGAATTCGTATTATATGCAATTCTCATTAGGTCTAGCCTGTTTTTTAATGTCGATTCCTGATTAATATTATGTACAGGGCAGCAATCATAGGTCTATGTGAAATGAGACTATATCTTGATTTGTTTCATTTTATTAAGGTGTCTCACTTCAAACGGTCCCCCTTTATATCTCAGTTATTAGTCATGCGATTCCAACCAAATTTGGGGTGGTATAAATAAATTACTGAACGCAGACATTGCCAAAGAATACAAGATGGAATTAACACGGAAGTTCGAAGAAAATATGGAAATGATAGAAAATGGTAGTATAGAAACAATATGGAATTATTTCAAAAATACTATACTACACAGAAAGAAATGACAAGGTAAATATAAAAAAAAAATCTTTGAATACTACAAAAACTTCTTTTGCTATAGCGCCAATAAAAGTTTCTGTTAATATCATAATCCATTTCTTTTAAAATCCCCAAATGAGATTCATCAACATCAAAAGACATTTCGGTACTTCTACAGAAAGTTTCTTTCATTGTGAAAAAATTTGTTCGTTGTCTCAACATATAGTTCTGTACACTGGAAAGAAGAATTCGCTAGAATTCTGAAACATTAAAGAATAGTTCGATAGTCATAAAGAAATTTCTATTGGTATAACAGAATGTGTTCCTTGTGTCAAACGATAGTTATTTATATGTTAAAGAATGGTTCTGTTGAATGCGAAATGTATTATAACCGGAACGAAATAGTTCGTTCAACGGTAAAGAAATATTCATAATCGCGAAAGATATTTCTGTACAGGTTGAATAATGGTTCTATTAATCATTTGTGTTTACAGAATGGTTCTATTGATGGTATAGAATTGTTCATTACCAGAACAGATATTTCTGTACAATTAAGTAAATTATTGTACCGTTAATCTCAGAGATTGTTATCAGGACTACTTATACACTACACTGTTTTACCACTAACCAAACCGATTCTTTAACGCCTCGACACGTGTTTCGCTAACTATGTTAGCATCTTCAGGAGAAGATTGAAACTCAGTTTCATTTCATTTCTTGAAAAAATCTTTTCATGAATCCATCAATATATTCGAGTTTTCTTTTATCGGTTCTTGATAATCAATGTTAACCTGAAATAGTACAAGAATAATTAACAGAAAAAATAGACGCATGAGTGTGAAGGAGCTAAAACCTCTGAAACAAGATAAAAGTGAGAACAAATAACATACCAGTCTATATCCAAGTGGGTTGGTATAATGCTTCCAAGTCTTGAGAATACCATAGCAGTATGATCTTCCTTGTTCTGTCGAATGTGTTTCAACCGTCCATGGCGTGTCTTGATCCACCCTACTCAAAAATTTTCAGAAAGTGAAATGCAAGCGGAAGTAAACAACCTTTTGCTTCAATATGCTGGAAAACTGCCTCTCCGTCCACGAAAGTTTCGAGTAATTCGTCAAATTCTGACCTTAGAACCAGATCACTCACTTTAATTTCGAACTTTTTAAGATGATAGATCAACTTCTTATCTTGAAAACTACGTGTAAAAGTTCATAGGAACTTCTTTCTATTTTCTCGCCTTCATTGTTGTCACAATATATTGAAGTAAACATACCTATACTCATATTAATGTAACACCCTGTATAGTATCCAAATCTCGCTAAGCTGATATAGGGTTAAGTACACTTACCTTGATACCTATCAATCGGAAAGAAAATTGAAAACAACACTCAACACCGATGCATTCACTGTCAATACTAAATAAAAAATGAATAATGCCCTATGCTGCATAAGGGATGGTAGCCAAATTTGAAAATAGACCAACACATCATGTTCGATGACATCAGGTGAGCGTAAGCACGAATCTGATTGGTGAATAATGACATAATGTTTCTTGCGTTTCCTGAACTGGAACATAACTATTTGTTTTATTTAAAGAACATTCTTTCGAAAGAATGACTTCACTCATGATCTTTTAATATTACAGAACTATTTGTATCCGCATGAGATATTTTCATTAATATTCAAAGAAAGATTTTGTGTCAATTCTAACGGAATATTCCATGAGTGTTAGAGAAGATTCTATTCATGGTATAAAATTATCATTGAAAATGTCAAAATGAATAGTACAGATCAAACTTTGATACCAACAGTATTTTCTGTAATCTTATACCTAGCTATTCTATCAATATTATAGAATGATGAGTGAATAGTAAAGAAATTATATATGATCGGAGACAACTATTTACAGAAATTCATTGTAAAATTAACAGAAAATCTGCAACATTCTGTATCTTTCGTGACAATGGTTCTGTTTATGATAAAAAAATTATGTAACGCTGAAATAATTCTTCGTTAAATTCGATACAGAACCCGTTCTGTTAATGCTATCAAATTATTTTTTTCTGTGTAAACACAGCCAAAGACATATGCGGAAGTAGTAGAAATAGTAATAACAGAAAACAAACAGCATGGTGGACAAATGAAATAAAAGACCAAGTGAAAATCAAGAAAGAAAAATGGAAAAAATATTTGAATAACAAAACATCAGACAATTATGAAGCATATAAAGAAGAAAGGAAAAGAGTGAAGGATCTAGTGGCAGTATCAAAGAAACATAAATGGACAGAATTCGGAGAAAAAATGGAAAGAGACAGCAGAGCAAATCAAAAATTATTTTACAAAACATTGAAATCATTAAGAAAAAATAAAATAAATGACATAACTCGAATTAAAAATAAGAACGGAAAAATACTGATGGACGAAGATGAAATAATGAATAGGTGGAAAGAATATTTCCAAGATCTGTTGGGAGCTCAAGGGGCCATACGAGAAGAACATAGGCAAATTGAAATAGGAAGAGGGGAAGATGAAGATTTCATAACACTGAGGGAGCTACAAGAAGTGATAAGTAAATTAAAAAACGGAAAGTCACCTGGATGTGACAAGCTCACAACGGAAATGCTCAAGAATATGGGAGACATAGGTACAGAATTTTTATTTGGACTTTATAGAAGAGTGTGGAGAGAAGAGGAGATACCCGGAGACTGGAAAATAGCATCGATAGTTCCAATACACAAAAAAGGAGATAAAGAAGATTGTAATAATTACAGAGGAATAACTCTACTGAGCACAGCAATGAAAATATATGAACAAATTATTTATAGAAAAATGGAACCAATATTGGAAAATACATTAGAAGAGTCACAAAGTGGATTCAGGAAAGGCAGGAGCATTCAAGACCATATATTTACAATCAAGCAAATAGCAGAAAAGGCATTGCAACAATGTAAAAAAGTGTATTTGGGGTTCATAGATTTGGAGAAAGCATTTGATAGTGCCAAGACAGAAATTATGGAATATATTGGCCGAAAGAGGTATCAATAATAAAATAATAAGGATAATAAAAAATATTTACGAAAATAATACTAACCGCATTATTTACCAAAATAAAACATCAGGGTCGTTTTCAACAAGAGATGGATTAAGACAGGGTGGAGGACTAAGCCCCGCATTGTTCACGGTATACATTGATGAGGTAATCAAGAAATTCTCTCTTAGAGCCAAGAAACTCCATGTAGGATATAGATACCTTCGCAGGATAGATATATCAGAAGGAGCATTTGCCGACGATGTAGTGATTATGGCAGAAAAGGAAAAAGACTTACAAAGAAATATGGAGATATGGAACAGTGTACTCGAAGAATACGAAATGAAACTAAATATCAATAAAACGAAAGTAATGGTAATGGGAGACCAACAAAAGACAATCGACATACAACTAGAAGGGATACACATCGAACAAGTGAAGAGTTTCAAATACTTGGGAGTAGAATTAGAAGACAGCGGAGAGCAAGATATAAAAATAAATAATAGGATTGAAAAAACTCTCAAATCTTTATTATGCAATGAACAAGTCTTTCATAAACAAAAAGGAAATTTCAAGAAAAACGAAAATTAATATATTTAAAACAATTTATAGACCAATCCTAACATTCGGTTGTGAATCCTGGGTATTGACAGAGAAACAAAAAAGCAGAATACAAGCCACAGAAATGAAATACCTCAGAAGGGTGAGAGGTGTAACAAAAAAAGACAAAATAAGAAACATTAAAATAAGGGAAGATCTAGAGATAAAGTCAACACTCAATTTCATAGAAAAACGTCAACTGAGTTGGTGGGGTCACTTGCAAAGAATGAGTGACTCAAGACCGGTAAAACAAGTATGGGAGTCGAAAATACAAAAAAGGAAGAAACGAGGGAGACCAAGGAAGACATGGGACGGAGTTCTAGGAGAAATACTTAGGAAGAAAGAAAAAACATGGGAAGAAGCAAAACATCTGGCAATAAACAAGAAAGAATGGACGATATTTGTACATGAAATAGAGAATATTTGAAATGAAATGTTATTTACCCTACACCATTATATGGTAATTGGGTTTTTGATAATATATATATATAAATAACCATCAATATGATCAGTTTTACAGAAATGCACATTATTTTGGACAGTGCAGTGCGTTTTTATTGAAATAAAAAGGGGTCGATTTTTCATAAAATCATATTAGGCAATTTTTTACTGGATACCTAACCCCATATTATTGTCCTCATGCTTTCGAACCTCCATATGCAGAAAAAACACCTAATTCCGAATTAACAGGATTGGCTTTCATTTTCAGTCTCGCATAAATAGTGACTTCAAATCAACTACGAATTTTGGAACGTTTAATGGCTCCGGTAGGTGGAAAATCATGATTTGGAAGGAAAAACGGGTTATACTTTTTTATGTTGAACTCACCGTTTTCTAGTAAATAATTATTACGTTCGCAAAGATGCTGTTCAGATGTGCCTGTTTTTCTGAAACCCTTCATAGGCATCTTATGAAAATCCACATATGTGGGTTTGAAACCATGAAGAATAATATTATGAGGTCAGTTTTCCTGTGGAAAAATGTCTAATATGATTTAATAAAAAAGTGACCCCTATTCATTTCAATAAAAATGCACGGCACTGTCTAAAATGATGTTTGTCCCTGAAGAACTGGTCATATTGATGATTATTCATACCGATACAAATTTGGTAAAGATCGCACGACTGATAGCTGAGATATAGAGGGGGGCCGTTTGAAATGAGACACGCTGTATAAGAGGGAAATACTACATGGGGAAAGTTTCCATCAATAGTTTTCACTATATTATCAATGGATACTCACCTTTGAATAAGATAAAAATTTGACAAAGTCAGGTTAAATGAAAACTCTCATTCGTCTTGAATAGCCTTTTAATTCTGTCATATATTCAATAATAAGTTATCTAGATTCCACCCACACTTTAGAACCATCCTTCATTCGCAAAACAACATTAGATTTCAGTTTGATCTCCTTTATCGATTTGTACTGAGTGAAAACTTTGTAACGTCTCAAAGTGTTGGCCAGAATCGTCTTCATATTCATCATAGCGTATCGAACACCTGAAACAAACATTTTTTCTGTAGAAATGTCAAAATCCCGATCACGAGTATACACATCCCATTCCATCTTGAAACTGAAAAAAAATTAGGAAATGTGGATCAAAAAATATCTCAGATCATTGGAGCTTTGCGAAGATGTCCTAAACTTGACAAAAAAGTCATAAACATAGTACTTCATTCTCATATACTCAGTCGTATTACCTATATGATAAAGGTTTGGAGATCTTGTTCAAAAAATTATTTCAGTAAAATATCTGCCCTTTATAAGAAAGCACTGAAAGTATTGTATCGCCTCTCATTTGATATCCCAACAAATGATCTGTATGCCATAACAGAAAAATTTTCATCGGTTGAATTATATAAAATAGATTCTCTTAAAGTTTCATATAATAATTATAATACACAATAATCTGAAATCCAATTTCATTTTGATAAGAAACTCAGAAATTCATGGTCATCACACGAGACAATCAAACTTATTTCATCTTGATTCTGCTACTTCTATAATTGGCCAAAAAAAATTTACTCACACTGCTCCAGCTGAATTTAATAAATTACCACATAATATAAAAAATTGCAGACATATTTCAAAACTTAAAATTGAATTGAAAAAACACATCATTTCATTACGATATGGATAAAATGTATACTTTGCCATCTACTGATTAGTCCCTGTGGCTATTTTCATGACTTGATCCATTTAGCATTTTTAGATTTTTTAGATTTTTTTGTTGTTGTTGTTGTCACCTTATATTATTTTATTATTATTGTTTGTAATCAACTTCCTCATTCCAGAATTTCATTTCTGACTGGAAGCTAGTTGTTCAATAAACAATGAACTTGCATAGCAATGGTGTAACGTTGCCTTGTACGTTAGGGTGGCCTCTTGCACTGGCACGGCGTTGCTAAGCAACTGGTTTTTTTTTTTTTTTATCGATTGGAGCGCACGAAAGGGAATCCCTATAATGTTCAAAGAACATCGTGCGTTCCTAGGGAGGATAGGGACAGGAGGTAGTGTAAGAAAGCTACTATAAATAGGTTTTTATCATTCATTAGATTATCGAATCAATCCTAAGCTGGTTAAAATTACATCGCCCAGTATATTGCACTGCTCATCGAAATCGAAAGCCAAACCGGAATAAAAGTTTACAACTCTCTTGTAACGGGTAGGTATAAAGCTCGGGTTTCTAATAGCCCTCAGCTGATCATCATAACTGCAAATGAATTTGCATAGATTTACTTATGATATGTTACGACCAGAATACTTGTAGATTTAAGTAACTATTATACTACTAGTATAAGATGAATAAGGACATGGTATCGATAGATACAGTTGTTGGTTTTTTTACTATGCCTTTTTTCCAACAACCCGATATCATTTTTGTATTGTATAACGGACAAGGCTAGCTCGATCCATCTGAACGAGGTCCAAATAGTTCTCTTTCTTCAAACACATACTGTAAAGGATCTGAGATCAGTTTATTGCTTTTTGCCCATGCAAAGACAACCATATAATACGTTTAGTTTCTAGAAAGAATAACAAATTGTCAAGTAAATCTTGTTAGGTTTGAAACATATGTTGATGGTTATTTATGGTTTCCGTCATAGATACAAAGGCGAGTTTCGAGATTTCTAAAATCACCCTAATGATGGAATAACATTACATGATTGGTCAGATACAATTTGGCGCTGAGCTTTCGCTTCCCTCATGTCACGTGATACACTCTGCATACAAAAGTAATGTTTGTCACAATTTTGTGGAAGTTCGTTTTTGAATTTTGTTCTGTTTAGTTGTGTCACGTGATATGCGGAACGCTGGTAAAGTAATCTGTTATTTGAAATATTCACTTTCATTATGAGTTGAAGAGTTATCAACTACTCGAGTTGATAACTCAATTATCATGGTTATTTACGATTAATATTCAATTATCTCTATTTCTTAACTAGTCTTTGGATGCCGTAAATACCAAGTCAGTTTTATGTCATTTAGTTAGGTCCAGACATGGTCCAGACCCTATTTTCATTCACTTTCATTCATTTATTATCCATCTGATAATAAAAATAGTTAATTCAGTTAGGAACCGAATAGTTTGATTTATGGACCTCCTTCCTATCCCTTTTTCCCACATTTATTTGAGATTGAGAGTAAAGTTAACGTAATTCATTGTTTCATTGTTTCAAATAATAATCAGAGTGTCTCAAGGTAGAGTAATATACTTTGATTAAAGAGTATGTAAGCACAGATATTTTACTAGTGCGATGCATATTACACGTGGATGTGTCACAAGCTGGTAGCTGGGATACTTCAGATAAACAAGGTAAGTTGATTATGATATATTGTGAATGATTATGTGACATTTCAATACGATTTATTCAAGAACCTACTTGCCGACCTGTTTCGCTCGGCAAGAAATACTTTTTGTTGGAAATTAGAATTATATTAAATGAGGTGGTTTTAAGACAGGTTAATAAATTAGTGATCAAGATAGGTTAATTGCTTATCAGAGACCACCTCGTTTACAGTAGGTATTGTAGTAGTACGGGGAAGTTTTCCTACACTAGTGCGGGAAAGTTTTTCCACACTAACCCATTCGAAGACGTTCCTGCCTAAACCATCGGAAAAAATAACCAGGCAGATCCTAGAATGGAGCAGGGGTAACCTGCGAATTCTGACTGGACTGCTTACGGGACACTGTCGTCTAAGATACCACCTGGGAAGGATGGGTCTGAACCAACAAACGGACTGTCGGTTCTGTTGTGTGGAAGACGAAACGGCTGAACACATATTATGTTCATGCTCAAGCTTAGAAAGACTAAGGTTCGACACATTTGGCTTTACCAATTTAGAACCTATCGATTTCAGACAAATCTCACCCAATTCAACCATGAACTTTGTAAAAAGTTGTGGGTTGTACGGTGAACTGTAACCTCTAGGGGTGAGCCACAATAGACCCATCTAGGGTCGCAGTGGAGGGGAGGTATTCGCCCCACTCACATGGAACCTAACCTAACCTAACCTAGTCTCGCAAAATATGAGTGGTATGTGACACAATATGAAAATTTTAGTTTTTTTTGTTGTAGTATTTAGTAAGTTCGTACAAAATCATTCATCAAATTGCACTATTTATTGTGAAAATGAAGAAATATTGAAAAATATTAATTGGTCATTATATAAATCCCCTATAGCCTTCAATTGATCTTATGTGGGAAACAATTGGTGTCATGACAATCAAAATTTAAATTAGTTAGTGTAATTCTCCGAGTGACAGACAGAGCGTTACTGTCATTTTCGATTCAGTGGAATTGCGATGAAAAACTTCCAGCTACAGATGCGATACAGATGAGTTATTGTCAACGAAGTCTTGAGAAAGGTATTCGAAGCACTTAACGGGATTTGATAGTGAAAAAGTGAAAACACCAAATAAAGAAGAAGTATTTTTGGCCAAACATTATGAAAGTTTTTTATCGCTTGGAGCGCACGAAAGGAAATCTCTATAATGTTCAAAGAACATCGTGCGTTCCTAGGGAGGATAGGGACAGGGGGTAGGTATTGGATTTTTTTTTGAACTTCTGGAGATTATATGATGTTGGTAATACTTCCTCAGGCAATGAATTCCAGAGCATAGCCGTTCTATGGATGAAGGAGTTTTGATAAAGTGCTGTTCGACATCTTTCGAGGTTGACAACGAAAGGATGTGCTGACTGGGCTTGTCTAGTTCGTCTGACTGGTATTGCTAGTGAAGGCATGATAGCAGAGATTTCCGAAGAACATTTCCCGTGGAAGTATCGATAGAAAAGTGAAAGGTGGCCGACCTTACTACGGTGTTCCAATGGTGTCAAAGAGATATATCACTAATTATTAGAAGATAGAGAATATTTCACTATTGTTAGTTGTTCTTATTTGCAGGAATAATTGATTGAACGAATCAATCAATTTCCTACGCTTGTAGAAAAAATATTGTTTCTAACTCATGCGGAAAGTGTCTTTCCCGCACTCGACTGCTTGCCAACGGGTCAACGGCATTCGCGTGCAAGAAAGTATCACTTTCCGCACTTGTTATGAAAATTACTATTTCTTACCTATACAATTCCTGGGTCCGAAGGAGAATGGAATGTATGTACAGGGATGCCTTTTGGCGACGTTTTCTGGCAAGAATCTGTCTGGATCGAATTTCAGAGGGTCAGGCCAGTATTTCGGATTCCTCTGGATGTGAACAGGACCGAAGAACACCGAGGATCCTTCCGGAACAACGAATTCTCCTGAAAAACGTGCGATAATCTTCAACATTGGGCGCACGAGAGGAAATCCCGATACAGGACTGTACAAAATCTGAGGTTAATTTATTTCTGTACGAAATTGCCTCGTTTCCAAGATACAAGTAGGAGAAGTCAAATTCAAGTTCAGATTTCCCAAGTGATATCGAGGAAGCAGTACGAAATGTACTATTTGCGTCTTCCATCCATATTTTTATCTCGTAACTGGTGTTGAAATGAACATTACATCACCAGTTATGTAATATTTGTTTTCACACAACTGGTTACATAGAGTGAGACGTTCAAAAACTTCCGTCAATTTTGAAAAATGTCAAATAATATGTGAAAATCAGAAAACGAAATAAAAATCTGATTTTTGTGAAATCGCTATCCCGATGGATCTGACATGATTTCCCCACCAGAGAGTATTGCTGATGGAAATTCCGAGCATAGATATACAGTGTCATTCATAAAGTCGGCATCATGACTTATTTTGGAATTCGAGTTGGACGTTAAGTTTTGCTTCAAAAGAGATGGAAAATGGCCTACTCAATCGGGGTCACGTGACTTTCGCTACATGTCAAAAGTGACATTTTTTGAAATTAATTGCTGAAAGTAGGCTTATTTGTTCGAATATCGAAATAGTTTACTTGAAAAAGTTGTTTCTATTTCAATTTTACACATGCTTCCCGAAATTGATCTTTCTATTGCAACTTTTAGATTTTGATTATTTTTTAATTTTTCGAAATTTCTGTAATATTTGAAGAATTGTTGATTCTACGAAACTATATCATACCAGTAGCTTTTTCATGCTATTTACTTTCAATTACTCATTATCACTGATTATGGACAGAAATATGATTTTCTTCAGAAAATGATAATACCTGCTTCCAAATTCTGTTATGTTTGATGCAAAGTTGATGAAATAATAAATTTAAATGAATTTCGTTTCTAAATGCTTGACTCAAACATAACAAAATTTTGAAGAGGAGATTATCATTTTCTGAAGAAAATCATATTTTTGTTGATAATCAGTAATAATTATTAATTGAAAGTTTGTAACATGATGAAGCTACTGGTATGAAGTAGTTTCATCGAATTTACAATTTTTTCAATATTACAGAAATTTCGAAAATTTTTAAAAAATATCGAAATCTAAAAAATGTAATAGAAAGATAAAATCCGAGTCACATATGTGAAATTCGAATAGAAACAAATTTTTCAAGTAATTTTTTTCGATATTCAAACAAATAAGCCTACTTTCAGCGATTATTTTGAAAAAATGTCACTTTTGACATGTAGCGAAAGTCACGTGACTCCGATTGAGTAGGCCAATTTTCATCTTTTTTGAAGCAAAACTTAACGTCCAACTCGAATTTCAAAATAAGTCATTAATAAAAGTTTTCCCCATATGATGCCGACTTTATGAATGACACTGTAGATTGTAGTGGACTTGGAATTCGCGAGACCAAGAGTCTGGTCTTGGTCTTGTCTTGGTCTTGATTCAAGACCAAGATCAAGAGTACCAAGACCAAGACTTGATAAATTTTTCGAAGACGAAGATCAAAGCTCTCTCCCAGTCTTGGTCTTGGTCTTGAAAGAAGAATAATGAATTAAAATCTACTCAATATTAAGAAAAATCTGATGGAAAATGTAATGGTAATGGTAATGTAATCTAATTTCAGTTAATTATCTGTCATATGGTAAGTTTTTAATTTTTCTCCACTCAAAATCCGAAATACATTTTTCAAATTCAGTATTGCAGTTTCAAAGTTTACAACAAATAGGTGTATGTTGTGTACTGAAGATAGAAACAAATTTAATACAAAAGTTATTTGATTTGAATTTGAATTTTTTTGAAATATTTTGATAATGCGTTGTTGTCAGTTCCGACCCTTTTGAACTTTTTTACTGGCCTGTCGAGCGTCGTCCTGTTTGCTGTTTATATTCTCATGGTAAAAGGAGAAATTCATTTCGCTTACTTTATACGCACAAATCCACAATTTTAAAGACTGAGAAATACGAAATACCTATTATATGCATATGAACTGTTGGATATTTGTATTGAATGATTCAAATTTATTCTTAACGCATTTTGATCCAAGACCACGACTATCAAGACCATGACCAAGACTACTGAGCCAGTCTCGTCTTGGTCTTGAAACATCAAGACAAGACAAGACATAATTGTATCATGCATACAGCATTCCGCCTTTCTAGAGAGAATACGAGATTGAATTTTGGTAGCGTTGAATTCAAGTAGTTTGTTGGTTCCCCAGACTGTAATTTTAGCAATATTATCATTGACAGCGAGCCTTCGCCGAGATTTGAAATATGAGATGGATATTCATCTTGTTTGGCCGTAGAGAGAAGGTGGTCGTATTACCCATGTCAATATTTTCTCCTACGCTTCTGACAAAGAATGCTGCGACAGGAAATATTCTCAGGCTTTCCTTTATTACTCGTTCTGTGTACTTCATTTCAGGTAAATCTGCTGGCACTACTTTACGATCTGGACCCATAATCTCGAAAATTTCTTCGTAAACTTTTTGCTGAAACAAGCAATCATTCTATTGTACATATACAGGATGATTTACGTAGGCAACACAGAAGTTTTGTAAATTGCAGTTTTTTATCGCTAGGAGCGCATACAAAAGGGATCCCCATTTGAGGACGAGTTACTTGAGCATTTCCTAAACCTTATTGAAACCTACATCGAGGTATTCAATAAAAGTTATTTATGTATCAAGGGCGTAAAATAGGCTTTTATGGACCGCAGCGTGTAAGTAATAGACCGAGCGATAGCGAGGGCTATTAACACGCCTATAGGTCTCTTCCATGTGGTCATATTATTCCATGTTGAAAGCTACTTTAAATGTACATGATAATAGAGATATTAGTAAATATGCAAGATTGATAGCTTTTTTGAAAAGGAAATCTGACGGTTATAAACCAAAGAAATCGAAGATTCTAAGCAGAGAAGAAATAGAGTTATTCTTGAGTGAAGCACCAGACGATTCGTACCTTATGATGAAAGTAAGTACTATTTTCATTCTTTCTTAATGTCAAGTATGATAATTTGACACTTTGTTGTAGGTAGCACTGATTTTTGGTATTTGTGGAGCATGTCGCAGACAGGAATTGGCAAATATCACAGTAGATGACATTCAAGATTTCGAGAATTTCTTACTCATAACTATAAGAGAAACCAAATCGAAGATAGATCGAGTATTTACTGTCATCGATAAAGAACAGAAATCGCCAAGTTATCTAGATACTTACAGAAAATATTCTTCCTTGCGAGTTCAGAATTATTATGATCAAAAGCGATTTTTTTTGTATTATAAAAAAGTGTTCGAGACAGGTCATCGGAAAAAATACATTCGGTCAAATACCATTTAGAATAGCAACCTATCTAGGTCTTCCTAATGCCAAAGAATATACTGGTCACTGCTTCAGACGTTCTTCAGCAACTATGTTAGCAGATGCAGGCGAGGATATAATCAACATTAAAAGACATGCTGGGTGGAAGTCGACAACTGTTGCGGAAGGTTATATCGAAAATTCTGTTGCAAATAAGCTGAAGATTGCTAAAAAAATCGTAGCAAATGATGAGCCTTCTACTAGCCATTGTAGACAATCTGAAGATATTGCTAACTACTCTCAACTACCAGATAATGGAATTACTTCTTTTCAGAATTCTAGTAAGTATGGAATCAGTTGGAATCAGCTACCTGCAACAGCAGAAGACAACAAATCCAAATATATCCATAACTAACTGTTCTGATTGTATTATAAATATTAAGTTATAACTCGTTATTTATGTTAATTGATTCGTTTTATTATTGTTAATAAAGTTTTGGGTTTGATCATATAATTTTGCATTACAGAAATATAAAGAAAACTTTAATATTCAAATGAGCACTCCTGTATAATTCAGATCTATTTTCCCAATCATTTTGCATTAATTGAAACCATTGGAATCTAGATTTCTATCGATATGACAGTGACATTAGCTTCACCACCAGCTCAATGACTTTTTCGCCCGCCGGGCGGTAAAGTAGTCCGCGGGCGGTAAAGTGCCACTTTACGCCCGCATACCCGGGCGGTAAAGTGCTACTTTACGCCCGGTCGTGCATAAAAATAATAAAAACAGTAGCAGCGTGTTTTTTTATTTTAGGTCGAAGGGTGATGTGTGAAATCAACGATAAATTTTCCTCCGTGCAAACTGTGGTGATATTCATCAGAAGTAATATTCCTAGGACATTGATAATAGACGAGATAATTTTATGGCAATCGAAAGCTTGTTCCTACGGCCTCGGGCTGTTACCAAGAAACGAGCTTGAGAAATTTGTCATAAAATTATGAGGCATTTGTCAACGTCCGAAGGATATTCGGCGGAAATTTGTTTGGCAAAAAATGTATAGCTCAACAGGACACAACGAAACATTTATTTATTCATTTATTGAAAGTACAGTTGGTGAAAGTACAATTATTGAAATTTAAATTAACATTAGATTCGTTGCTGTTTTCTACTATAGAATATCTATTGCCACACATAACATTTATGATCTCGTTGTGGTGTTCTTGATCTAGATTTAGGTATGGGTTCATAGAATTTTGATTGCGATGACCAGTAATTTCCAGCAATTATTGTTCTTCCACACCACTTTCTTCTAATTCGCTTGCAGCAGTTGATCTATTCGGGTGATTTGTTTTCTTTTTCCTTCACATTCAAGCCAATTGCCTCAGCAGTAGATTTAGTCCATCCACTCATTGTATTTCTTTCAACAGGTAAATTATCGTACCATTTGTCAGTTTCATTTTTCCAGTGTCGATTTGGCTTCAAGAACAGTCGTCTTGAGGTAATATTGTCGCCTCGTTCTGATATCAGCTTATGAAAATTTGTATTGCACTATTGGAGACCATTCATTTATTACTAGTACAGCTTTGAGAACCAAGAATTTATCTCGATTTGAAAGAAATCCACCAGACAAGCAACTGCCTCTGCTCCTCACGACGCTAATTCTACAGCAGCAATATGGTGAAATTTACGCATGAGAACTTCAGGAGTATTTCCATTCCATAGCAATACTATTTTGTTAACTTCTGACGAATTCAACGGAACTGAACTAGACTTACATTTACATGGATCTGCTTGTAGTTTCTTCCTGATTGCATTGCGGGCATCTCGGGGTGGATTAAATACTTTTTTTTTCAATTGCATTTCCTCGTTGGACCCAGCACTGGATCCAACGCCCCATGAGGCGAAACTTGTGCAGGGTTAGGAAAGCATACATTTACAAACATCCATGGCCTGACTGGGATTCGAACCCATGCCTCGGTGGGAATCCCCATACGAACTCAGCGCCTTCGTGCTCTCGACCACCGGGCCGCTATACTATATTGTTAAACGGGTCATTCATAATATTAAAGTCATTATAATACTCCTCTTGCAAAAGTTTGCACGAAACGTTCATTGTCTTCACCGTCGCTTCTTTATATCCGGTCCCATCTTTCTTTCTCATATTGACTGCCCAATATTTTAGTATCAACGCAAATTCTCCTTAGCTTCTATGTTCATTCACATTCTCGTTCGCAGCAAAATTCCATGAACATTCCCCAAACTTATTTGTGACTGTAGGTTGTATTTTTGGTAATTTTTCGTCTGATTAGCGCATTTATACTTTCGCATTGCCAAAGCGTGACATTTCGAAATTTATTTGAAATTTAGTTGTCAAACTAAATGGAGTCGTTCGATAATTGCACTGAATGCAATTATCAGTATAATGTTGGATTAATTGGTTGTGTCCAATCATGTGACCACCAATTATTTTGATTTCATTGGATTTCTACTTAACCAACAAATTTTCAAGGTAACGAATTTTGTGACTGGTATTAGTTGACATCAATTAGTTTGTCAAAGTAAGAAGTTGGTGTCGACTTTTGGCACACCCTGTATAGCTGGAGGACTAAATATATTTCAGGTAGATTGGAAATGATCGATCATTACACCATACCAACCTTAAAGTTTTTAATCCGACTGCTGTGTGGCCTACGTAAATCTCCCTGTATATTGTATTCACGTTGTGACTTACCTGTATGTCTTGAAACATGCCTAGCATCGTGAGGATACAGCATATCGCAGAAGCTGTGGTATCAGTGCCCTTCAAAACATAAACATACAGAGTGATTGCTGCAGAATTTACAGGAGTATCAAAATATTATTGTTCAATGATATACAGAAAAGTGCACAGAAAACTGCCAAATTTTGGAGAATGGTGGGCAGCAAGTATACCAAATCGCTCTTTTGTTGGCAAAACAATTTCTGTTCCATCACTTCCAGTTTCACCAGATACGACCCCATTTTTATTTCATAATCGGTCAAAGATTATCGTAACGAATTATTCGCGTCCTGAGTGTCCAGAAAACTGCGAACGCCAATATCTCCGTGATCAATGGGCTTATATCACAAAACATTTTCATTTCATAATTCGATAGAACTCACCCAAACTAGCTCACCACCGCAAACCGTTTCTTGCTGTGAGCTCCCTACGTTTTATAAAAAATTATTGAATTCCGCGATTTTTCGGACCTCTGAAAACGAGGCGATGATGTGACGTCAAAACCCTAATACTGAAACAAGACTATTCCAGACAGAGATGAATGATACATGATTTCTGACAGAGTGAATTAGCTCGAGATCACAGTTGAAAGAATTAATATATCAGTTGCCTCAGTCTCCGTCGGGCGTTTGGTATTTTCTTTCAACTATGGCGAGATGTGGTTTCTACGTCATAAGAGGGTCCGTTTAACAGAAGGTACTATTATTTATGTTCAAAAATGAAACATTCCAGTTAATTTTTCAATCGAATTGTGTCGTCAATCATTATTTATGTATAAAAGGATCATTGTTTGAGTTAAAAGTTCTACTAAGGTGTACACGCCCATTGAAATAACTCTATCAAACCCGGTTTCGTTGAATTCGCTATGATAATCCCTAACCGATTATGGAATGAATGAAATACAGGATGTCCCATTTAAAAATCAATAGTTGGGTCGTTTCTGGTGAAACCGAAAGTGATAGAACAAAAGTGGTTTTGTCAATAAATGCGCGATTTGGTATACTTGCCCTGCTACCCACCAATTTTCAAAATCCAATCTCGAATGATTCAGTATGTACAGGGTGAGCCAAATTGGTCACTTTAAAAGGGGAAGTCCTATTCACCAACTAGATAGAAGAAAACTGATGAGGGTTGATTTTCTGTTTTCGTTTCGGAGTTACAAGGTGTTCATCGAGAATGGGCATTTTTGAAAGGTGGCTACAAATATTTTTTTTGGCAAAAATCATATGTTCTCATGAAAATAACTGCAATGTATTGGAGCTTGTGATAACAATTATTCCTGAGGTATTGAAATCGGCTTTCCTATAACTTGTTCAAGATAGAACTTGTTCTTCTTGAAGGAAAAGTTCTATCTTGAAACTAGGTATATGGTGACTGATTTCAGTGCCTATAAGGATCAATTTTCATGACAAACACAATGCTTTAGAAATGTTTTGATGAAAACGAAGAATTTTTGACAAAACAATGAATTTCAGCCACTTTTCGAAAATTCATATTTTCGAAAAACACTTGGTAACTCTGAAACGAATGTAGATAATGATATGCAGTTTTCACCTTTGAATTGATTACCAGGCACGATCATCAGTTGTTTTCTATCTAGTACGGTAAAAGGACTTTCCCTTCAAAAGTGTCCAATCTGACCCACACCGACTGACCAAACATATTGGTTAGGTTTTTTCATGAACTGAAAATGAAAATTAGCCAGATTTTCTCTATGTATTTGCAGTTTTCCATTAGTGCTTTCTCATTATGTTATTCCTTACCGCTATCAAAAAAATTTCCACTTCTTCTATCAGTTCCTTTTCTGTGAAATTCGAGTTTTCCAAAATGAGGTCGAGGAAAGCTAATTTCCTCTTGGGATTTTCTACAAAAAATACATCGAAATATTTTGAATGCCCTATCTAGATTTCTTGTTTGCATACCTTCTTCAATAGCCGCTACCAAGGAACTCTTCCTATAGTTCTGTTTAGCAGCTTCATATTCTTCCATCTTCCTTTTCACTACCTGAAAATGTTTACAAAAAATGAAAAGTAACTATATCGCCAGTGATATCTAATTTAAGAATGTTATCCCAAGAGTGTTTACAATATTTTTCCCACCACTAGCTATAGAACCTACCATCATTCACTCCTTTTCTAGGCTTTAAAGTATGTTTTTTCTAGTTAATTTTCGTCATTTTAAAAACTACTAATCCTTTTCCACTTCAATTTTGGAATTGGTAAGTAATATTTCGAAAAAGGAAGGAAGAATTGATAAACTGAATTTCAGAATCGTGGATTTGAATTCCATCCATTCATTTTCAGGAATGGTAAGTTGTACCTAAGTATATCAGAAATAGTAAGTTCAATTTCAGATAAGTAATCCTTGTAATTGATTGGAATATTATATCTGATCTGCACAATCTTTAAGACATTCTATTTGGTTGAACAATTTGTTTGGATCAACGGCTAGAAACCTTTGGCCTTCATTTGTGAGAAACTATTCTTGTGACCGGAAGGCACTCCATATACAGAATGATCCACGGTGGATGGCCTATTAGAAGTATCTGGAGAACGAAAAGACAGATCACTCTGAAAATTAGGATGTTTTGATAATTTTGAACATTCTCTATCCACTTCTATCAGAAACAACTAGCAACTTTGTTATTTCAAATGGAACACCCTGTATTTCATTGCATTTTTAGATTCTTCCTGAAGAGCTGATTTCATCAATGAATTACACTTGGGGTCTATCGGAAATGGTTACAGAGATATAGGGTGATTTTATTCTTCAATTTTAGGATTTTTTTGCGTCGAAACTATTCATTATCGATCAGAACGGCTCACATGTCCCTATCTTAACTTTTGATTCACTATCTACTGGAATTTAATTGGAAAAAATACAAGGTGTTTCAAGATTCAGAATTCTGATCACCCTGTATTTGTTCCAATTGAATGTCAGTAGATAGTGAATCGAAAGTTAAGATAGGGACATGAACGCCGTTTTGACCTATAATAAATGGTTTTAGTTGATAAATCTCAATTTTGAACACATGATACATTGATGAAATCAGAGAGAATCTTGAAAATCAATGAAATACATCAGGGTGTCCCATTTGAAAAAATCAACTAGTGCCCTGCATATCGTTTGTTCCGAGCACCCTGTATTTTCTGATGGAGCGGAAAAAAATATCAAAAATACGTTCTCAAACACCATTTCATCCACTGTATTATTTTATTTCGAATTCTCCCCACTCTTCCACTATTCAATATCAATGCCCGTGACAGTCATGCTTATAATATTATGAAGATTTGGTTTCTTACTGTTTGTGGGGGCGGGGGAGGGGGTGGGGGAGGGGGTGGGAGAAATCTGACAACAGTCCTTTGACCTTCTACAGAATATCTTGAAATTAGTTTCATCAACGAAGACGATAAACTTTTGTGATGCTACATTTCCCAATAAAGATAATCCACCTAAATCCTGCGTAAATCTTTAATTTCTGCTACATTATTCATTAACAATCTGCCAAGGTATGAATCTGTTTCACATTGAACGCACATCCATCATCTACATATATACACTTCGATACCCTGTAATATTTCTTGTTTCGCTCTTCTTTCTGAAATTGAACTCACCAATTCTGGAATACATTTTACCATTTCTGAAATTGAATGGATTTTTTTTTAATTTCAGCTCACTGATTCTGAAATTGAGTCTACTACTTCTGGAATATAAGTTGAAAAGGTACAGTCGCTAAAGACATATATAGCCACCTCTCTTATAATTAACCCGAATTCAATTGAAAATGAAAAGAACTGCTTCCATAGTGACCGTAGGTCAAAATTTCAGTTTCACACAACTATATAGAAATAAAATATATTGCTAGTGGTGAAAAAAACAATTCACCTTGGTGTATCTATATTGTATAATCAACTTATACTCACTGCTGTTGTGAAATCTCGAAATTTCTTTTCGTAATTCCTGAATTGCCAGTTCATTGGAAATAACATCCTCATGATTCTTATATGTTGCCAAATGTGAAAAATACGATATGTAACTATTTCCATAATTCTGCAAATTAAAAACATCAAGGTCTCATATGTAATACCACAATTGATACTATTTTGCCGGAAATATTCGGCGATTATTATGACAGCTGGATGCCTAATAATTTCGCGAATAACATTGTTTAGCAAAATTTCCGAGCTGTAGGAAGAAGTTTTGGAACAATGTCATGAGCGTGATTGAAGCAGCAAGCTGGAATAGGTCAATCGACGAATATTTTCAGGAAGAATAGTATACAGGGTTGCCCACGGTCGATGGTACCTTAGACATATACGGAAAACGGTACATTGGATTATCCTGAAAATTTGGTTACTCTAATGAGCGTTTGTGACCTAACGATTCAAAATATTTTCAGCGATGCATCGTTGCCACTTTCACCAAAAAGTAGCATCATCTTTGTTATTTCAAATAGAACACCCTGTATTTCATTGCATTTTTAGATTCTTCTCGAAGAGCTGATTTCATCAATGTATCACACTTGGGATCCAGCAGGAATTATTACAGAGATATAGGGTGTTCAAAATCGAGATTTTTCAATTTCAGGAATTTTTTGTGTCGAAACTATACAATATCGATCAAAACGGCTTACATGTCCCTATCTTAACTTTTGATTCACTATCTACTGACATTTAATTGGAACAGATACAGGGTGATCAAAATTTAGAATCTTGGACCATCCTATATTTTTTCCAATTAAATGTCGATAGATAATAATAATCAAAAGTTAGTATAGGGACATGTAAGCCGTTTTGACGCTCATTAGAGTAACCAAATTTTCAGGATAATCCAATGTACCGTTTTCCGTATACGTCTAAGGTACCATCGACCGTGGGCCACCCTGTATATCACGAATAGTATAGTATTCGTATATGACTATTTCATGATTGACACAATAAACGAGCCTCGCGAGAGTTGCGCACACTGCATCCATCATTCTGACTTCTGATTGGTTCTTGAGAACAAGAGTGGAATGGTCATCGATAAAAATTAGAAGATTATACTTTCTGTGAGTCATTGAGAACTTCTTTAATTTGTGTTATACAGAGTGATTCATTCTTTGGGATGAACAAATTAAAAATAGGGGTTGCTACCTACTCTTCATCACCCAGTATAACTTACTTGTCTAGATTATGTCCAAAGTCACAATCGGTGGTCTGAAGATTCATTTTCACACCCATGGCCGTTTCTGAATTGAAAAAATGATGTTATTTACTAATACAAGGAAAAAAGTGATAGATTTTAGCTCGAGGTTGTATATAATATTTTTTTCCGTGTATAATACACAGAATACAAGAAAAACGAACAATTCAATATTGAAGAGATATAACATTATAATAAAATCAGAAAGTTATCGAAGGTAATACCAAGCGTCCTCCAATATTATCGATATATTTTTTTTCTACAAAAACTTTTTCATTTGGCAAAAATATGAAAATAAGCCGATTGATACAATCACGAGTCCAATGCCTGAAATGAAAGAGTTTGATTGATGGAAATGACAAATTATCGGATAAAATTCGAGGGACGAGCTGTATTTGGGAAGATTATTCTCTTCACTGATTTGACAAAAAGACACATTTTACGAGTCTAAGACATTCTACATATTTCTATTATCATTGATCATATAGTTCTGAAGGTGATGTGTATATAATATATTATGAGAATAAGAGAATCAACGCAGGTAAGTCTAACTAGTTTTGAACTGACACCTAGGAATGTTATAGTTTATGAAAGGGATAGTTATTTTTTTTATCCAGTGATAATTATTATTGATTCAATCATCACACATACATATAAAATCATGGAAACCATCCATATTTCTCAAAGTGGTCCAATTGATTTTTATAAGAAAAAACAATAAAGTCGACAGACTTTGGGACTTTATTGTTTTTTTTTATACATACATATCACTTTATTATATAAAGTTCTGTTTTGACAGTTCAATGTAAATTGTTGAGCACCATGCAGTGTTATCAGTATAATTCCAAATGATTGGCTAGAAATAACGAAAACGTCGAATGTGAAAGAAAGAATTGATGTGAAATTTGAAGTTTTTAACTGCTAGTACACCTGTGTTGCAAGCATATCTTTTTAGGCATCTTTACTGTTGCTATGGAAACCTTTTGAAGGAATCAAATATCTGTCAATTCAATTCTGTGTTTCGATTTTAAAAATTGCCAATTTAGTGGTTGTTCAGTAATTAACGTAACCGCGAAGTGGAATGAATGATAAAGAAGACTTTCAGTTAATTCTCTGAGACGGTATTATTGGCTCATTTTTTGGAAACTAGCACAACAAAAGCCATCAACAGTGCACCTATAATTATGAGAAAAAAGTAACTTTTTCTGCAATCAATAGTCGACCATTTTTGTTCCAAAATTAGCTCTTGAAGTTTACGTTTCTCTTACTGACACAATCAGATGATTAGTATGTATGTTGCTAGACAACAGTTTTAGTGTGTAGGAGCTAAAGTTGAAGTTTGACTCCTAGGAACTAAACGTGTATCGGAATACAGCTGTTACGATAGCTACTTTGACACTGACATGGTCAAGTGAGTCAAGATAGTAGTAACTTCATTTAAATTCAATTATTTAGTTATCAATTATTTCAATTGCAGAAAAAAAGCATGTTTCATTCGGATCAAACGTGACTTTTTGACAAGCAAAATTTGCGTATGCGAGGCGGAGCGATGAACAGTGTATTATTATGGAAAGTGGCAGTTTTTTCAGTCACAGAAAATAAAGTTTTCGATAACAGTCAGAAAATATATTTACCACAAATGATGTCCAGTGTACATGATGAAATCAACTTGAACAAATCCAAATCTTTCCTTCCCACATATTTCTCAAGTTGATCTGCGAATACTTCGCTTTGGTCTGCGAAAATTTCTACGAAAGATTCCAAAATTTTTTGATTGAACGCTGGCATAATAACTTTACGATGTTTCCTCCATTTTTTAACTGAAAATAGTGAAATATCAAATTATATATCTGAAAACAAGAACAATGGCCAATAATAAAAAAAATATTGCTATGTACTGGGAGAGACAGCGAAAACCTTCGTTTTTAGAATAATTATAGTCGTTATCTTCTGAGTTGAAGTAGAAATAAATATAGTAAAAACTAAAAAAACACGCTTTTATAGATAGTCAAACTGAAAAGGAGTGAAAAACAAAATCATGGGAGTGTGTTGATAAATACACAACATATGGAAAATACTGATTACGAAGGTGTTAATATTTTCTATGTTGCGTATTCATCAACATAATTTTATTATTTTATTTTCGACTTTTTTTCAGTTTGACGAGATATAAAAGCTTGTCTTTTCAGTTTTGAGAACTACTTTTTCTTTGTTGTTGCCTTTTTTGGATGTTGTAACCGTTAATCAGGCTCCCTCTCCAGGAACCTGATTTCATTCGAGTACTTGGTGCAAGAAACTACGTCTCTCTGGATTAAACTATTTTCATAACATATACGAGTATACTTGGTGCAAGACACTGCCGTAACATGTCTCTGGATGTGAACATTGTTCTTCCTGAAGATCCTGATCAGGAAAATTGAACGAAACTATTGAATTATGTCATTGTCATCGATCCTTCATGTCACGTTTTAGAGTGAGTCAAAATAACTTGTTTCCAGATGTAACAATTCCTACGAGTGCTTAGTACTTGGTACAAGACAATGCCATGTCTCTGGATATAAAAAGCATTGTATCAAGTTATTCGAAGGAAATTAGAACATTAGAAATTTTGGTGAAGGAACATTTGGAATTTTTGTGACGGAACATTTGAAATTTTGGTTGCGAGACAGCATTCACCATTTCGTTAATACAAGAATACAAACATACATACCGAGCTATTGGAAGCGTAGTAAAAATATGGATAAGTGTCGACACTCAGTATAGTTGGGAAGTAATTTCATTTGTTTTTCTGCTCATCAAAATCGGACCAAGATATCGTGGAAATCTGCTTACCTTTCGCTGTCATGATCCCAGTACCAATAACTTCCGAGATGAAATCATACAGATCATCCTTGTTCAGTGATTTCGGATTGGTCAAAACTTTCTCGAGATGTACAGGGTCACTCAAGAAGTACAACAGCTTCGGTCCGAACCACGCTTTGAAATAATTTGGATATTGTTTCTGAATCTTTATCAGAGTGCCCATTATATCTGAAAATCAAAAAACCTTAGGTTTTGATCTCGAATTTTCAAATTTTCATTTTGATCTTTTTGTTTAAAGGACTTCCGTAACCGTAACTTTATGCTTCTTGTTCGCTTTGTGATATCACTTAGACTTACCAGTGGCATTGGTTCCTAGAAATAGATAAGCTATTCCTATGAATGGAAGATTCATAGGTCCAGGAACATTCCACGAGTGGAAGTATAGTTTGCTCCTTTTCCATAGTAGCAGGATATACCACAATGTAATAATACCAGAAAGTATAACAATTAATATTTGATTAGCTCTCAAATTCGCTGTTTGTTTCATAGGAAGTTCTGTGAAATTGCCATCTCTCAAAACAGGATCTGAAAAGATATTTTTACATGTATCAAATTTCTATGTAGGCAATAGTATATGAAGAAGATATTATGTAATCCTTAGACTCACGTTATCTCAGAAAAACTCCTTGGATTACAACAATCAAAATATATTGCCTCATAGAATGAAAAATCTATTTTTCATTAAATTCAAGAATAAAATTAAGCAATATCGCCTCGAACATTGCTTCTACTCACTGTAAGAATATTTCCAGGCTGATCATGAGGAATTACTGGCTTGGGTATTGATATGGATGAAGTCGCTATCAATATTTATCTGTATTTTTTTTCTATTTGTTCTGTATTCTTAATCTGTATCAATATTTTCATATTGTTTGTCTTTGAACTTCTTATTGTTCGTCTTTCAACTTTATTTTATTTATAGTTATATTATTTTTATTTCTAACTTTTTGACCTGCTACAAATGTGAGAATGTTACTTCGTTATATTTTAGTTGAACGCCTTGTATATACCTTGGATTTGCAATTGAGGTTTGTTAGAAAAAAAGAAAGTAGTGTTAAGACCAGACAATTTTTCATTATTCGACGAAAGAGATTTAATATTGGTTACATGCAGTGTACGTAATATTCTATTCTATTCTAATACTTGACAAGAGTTGTAAAACGCATATTACGCACTCGGCAAGTGCGTAATTGCTTCCAAACTCGAAAAATGTACTATACTTTTTCTACGACTACACTATACTTCCTTCAGGATGGTCCTGATATTGTGTTAAGACACAAATATTCATACAAATCTCATTCATGAGAAATAATTGAGTAATTTATTATCAAAGTTTACCAAAATACCGAATCTTCCATTGAAACTGTCTATCCATATTTTTTTGTATTGAGATTGAACGATTTCTATTCCATAATGAACAATACCATGACATTTCCATGGAGCTTGAACAATATATAAACGTTATTTCAAAGCCCACTATATTCAACTTACATTAGATGATATGAATACGGTATTCTGGTAAATTTTGATCAATAACTCAACTTTTTTTCATCCAAATATGCAACTCATAAATATTTTCGAAATCAGAAGAAAGGCTCTATCGACATGTCGTAAATTATATAGGGTGTTCCATTGGAGAAATCAAAGTTGCTGTTATTTCAGGAAAAACGAATGACCCTGTATATGAAACAACTTCACGAAATGAAAGTTTGGGTCGTTTGACACAACTTCTTCATTCGTTAAGGGAGGATTCCATTTTAACCCAGACAGCACTGTATATTCCTAGAATATTCCGAATATCCAACGAATATTCCTAGAATATATATGTGCCTCTGGAATATCCATCAAAGAATATTCAAATTTGAACATTCTAGTAATATTCCGAAATAATATACATGGAATATTCCAGAAGGAATATTCAAAGATGAATATTTCAAGAATGTTCAGGGAATATTCAGGTATGAATATTACAGAAATATTTCCAACTGAATATCCTCATATATTTCAATGAAATACAGTATAGTACAAACACCATTCTCTATATTGTATTTCATAGATGCTAGTATCAAACATTTGTTATGATAAAAATGTGGTAGAAATCCATCGTATCTCAAAGCGCAGTGGTAAGTTACCAGGAATCTGGAACAAAATCAGATCATCGTACATGTTTCGAGCCCATATAAGCTCATCTTGTTTATTATTATGTATCAAGATTTTGATTGATTGATTTATGATCCGATTCTGAACAACGCTCTTCAAGAAATTGTTGTGAACAATATCATTCAACTCGATTACTGGCATAGTGGTTAAGGCGTTGCTCTGACAATCTGAAAGTCACGAGTTCGAGCCCATCTTGGGTCACCTTTTTTTAATTATAAATATGTTTTGGTGGAATATTCCAAGAATATTCATTTATTAATATTTCTGTACTATCTATGGAATATTCCGAATATTGTTTGAATATTTCTAGAATCTTATAGGTTCATTCTGAATATATAAGGAATATTCCTTGTGAATATTCTAGGAATATATACATTCTTCTCCACCAGCACATTCAGGAAATATTCCGTAGAAGATATGTATATCCCTGGCATGTTCATGAATATTCCCAATATCCAAAAATAATATTCTATGAATATTCATGGAATATCTGGTGCTGTCTGGGAAGAGGCGCACCCTGTACAGGCCTTTTAGGGTCAAAAATGACAGGAAATTATAGCAAACTGCTCAGTACTGCCAGATGATACTCACCAATCTGAATATCTTGACAAACTTCCATATCACAGGGTTCCAACTTGAGAAAACTGGACGAGAAATAGAAGCACCACGAGTATCTTAAAGAGTGCCACTCAAACCTATGTTAGGTACTTATAGATATCTTATCCTGTTCACTTGTTAACTCCAATTTACTTAAGTGGACCTCAATGTTTTATTTCGTGAACATGGGTACATACAACTGACATCACACCAACATTACGTTTTATTACCTTCGTACGATATGCAATTACAGCGTGGTGAATTACATTACATGGTGTTCTAGTTAATTGAAGGGAGACAGAAAAAGTTATGTCACCTTACCAAATGAGAGTTTCATAAAAAGTTTGATTTATACAAGTTGGAAACAGTCTCACTAAGGTAATACACCGAATACAGTCAAAATTCACGGAATAAAAGCTTGTGTTCATGCCTCGTTCAGGTGAAACCAACAAACGAAAGAAAATACATAATATATCAACAGACCAAAATCACCTGATCATATTTTCACTGAAAACGAAAAACATTGAAAAGTGGAATGGAATCGGTTGTTATTGAAAGGGACCAAGTTACAAATCGGCCATTTTGTGTATTTTCGCAAGCTTGAGGCCAAGACTGATCTTTTAGTTTGAAAAAGAACCAATGAGGAATGTATTTTTTTATGTTCTAGTTCTCAAGAATAGGGAGAAACAAGGAAAATAAGGTACGAATTGGTGTTTTTCTTGAATTTCGGGAGGTTATATGCCTCGGGGAACACCTCCCTTGGCAATGTGTTCCAGAGCCTCGCTGTTCGTTGGATGAACGAGTCTTTGGAAAGAGATGTTCTGCAGGTCTCCAAAGTGACCACGAAAGGGTGTGCGAAGCCTCAACTCGACTGGTTAATCTCGCGGGGACTGCGATATGATATTCCAGAAGAGCATCGTTCCATGAAAATATCCATAAAATAGAGCCAGATCGCCAACTTTTCTACGGTGTTCCAGAGAAGTGAGTGAGTTTGTGAGCGAGGCATCACCCACGAGACGAATTACCCTTTTTTGGACAGAATCCAACAGTTTCAGGGTATGTTCGGGTGCTGCACTCCAAATATGGAAACAGTATTCCAGGACAGGTTGGATCTGTGCCTTATAGATCATAAGCAGCTGACTGGAAGTGAAATAGGTCCTGGCCCGAAACAGAAAACCAAGTTTTTAGGATGCACTTTTAGCAATTGATCTCAAGTGATATTCCCAAGGAAAGTTATTGCTGATAGTAATACCAAGCATCGAAATGGATGTCTTCAAAGGTATGGTTACTCCTGAAAAGCTTATGTTGGGCACAGTGAGATCGGTTTTTATAGAGCAAATGCATGCTTGGGTTTTGTTTGCATTGAATTCTACCCAATGAACTCAATATAGTTGTTTATATTGAGTTCATTGATTCTACCAAGTTATTGGATCCCCATTAGAGAATTGTTGCCAAGTCTATATTTATGTTGTCAACATTTCTCCCTTGTTCGTTTCTGATTTGCCTGGCTGGTATTGGAGCCCTGGAAGAGAAGGTGGTATGGAGGGTACTATCATCCGCGAAGCTGTGTACTAGACATGAAGTTGCTTCCAACAAATCGTTGATATGGAGTAGAAATAGTGTTGGTGCTGCTATTTCGAGCACTGTTTCGAGCAGGTCGAAAACAGTATACTCTCATAAGGTACTTGTTTATGTACTTGGTTCCTTCAATAATTCCACTCCTGAATGCAAGCTGACAGTTGATCTATGGTGCCGTGTTTCAGTATAAGTAAATAATATATCAAAATCTGAATAAAATGTGATTCTCCATCAATGAAAAACTCATCACATCATACAGGAGAAATATAATCCTGGCTTCATGAGAGCATCCAATTCTATCAATAGACTGATATACGACCACTATGAGCTGCATCTGTCAAACGGAATAAGAAATATAAATCTTCATTGGCTTATGGTAGCGATGAAATTTCGATTCTGTATACTGAAATATGGAACACTCAGAGCAAGAGAGACCAACACAAAACATGATTGATTTGATATTTTTGACGAAGTTGTGCCGCATTCTTTCTCAAAATGAGTATTATTGAAAGGAACGATTTTTTTTAACCTCTGTTCTAACATCCAGTTAATATCGAAAATTGAGTTGTTGGAAATACATAGTTTTTTCAAGTTTACTCAAAACTTCATAAATGTCCCTTGATCCTTTTTAATGATAACCGATTCAAATATACTGAAATCGTAGAAGAGAGAGATTCAAACGAAAAAAATCATCGACTTGTTTCCTGTCCATGCAGTTGATATTGATAGAACATGGTATTAACCTACTCCTAAAACCTGAGTATAAGAATGATGAATTAATTCAAGATAAGTGATAGTAATTGTCAATAGAAAAAGACGAAGAAACCATCAAGTGCTGAGACTTATTTTTTATTTTAATGTTGAAAACGGAAGCCAGACTCATTAGTTATGATATCAAAATAGTAGATAAATCCTTTGAAATTCTATATAACTTTTCAAGTGGAAAGGAACCATTCGAGAAAAAGTATATTGTTGAACGAGCATAGAATGATAGTCATTTGCCACAAATCAAATCATACGAGTGGACAATTAGCATTCCGTGCGAGTTATACACTACACTTTTTCTACGGCTGTAACAGATAATATCGAAATTTTTTATTCCTTCGGTTCGTAGCCATTTTGTAATGCTCATCTATTAGACAGAGCTGTAATCACTTGAAATTCGACATTTCATAGCAGATAAAATTTGTTGTGAAATAATAACATAATGAAGTAATTGTGATATCAGATACGAGAATAAAATTGATGGCATACAAAGTACCTCATTGATTTATCGAACACAGTAAAACAAGAGCAATTTCGTGATATCGCCGTACAAAAAGTTAGAATCCCTTTCAATCACAATTATGCAAAACGACTTGATAAAGTTTCCAGAGACGTAGGTTTCGAAAGCGTTTATCAGTCTGAGTCAAAATTAGGCAATTGATTAGGCAATCTAATAGATGAAGTGCTCAGAAATTTACGAAATAGGTTTTAATGATTGCGATAAAACATACATAGGCCAAACTAGGCGACCCCTACAAACAAGGTTCAAAGAACACTCAGCACATTTGATGAATGGTAGATTAGATAAATCGAGTGTATTCGTATACATCATTTATCACGATCATAACGCACGAATTAATTACCTTAAATGGGATGAAAAAATTAATATTCTTAGAAAATTAGAAGCATATGAAAGCCTAGCATTAATGATCGAAAATGTAGTAATGAGTTATGAATAAGGATATTCGACCTTTTCTATAGCGCCCTCTTTAAAGTCTGGTGATTTAGGATTAGGATCAACATGTGAAGCCAATCATGATAGACATTAACTGCGCGATTAGTGTCTTTTGCATTACCTAGTATGATTTTTTTTTATCTCTTGGAGCGCACAAAATGAAATTCCTATAATGTTCGAAGAACATCATGCGTACCTAGGGAGGATAGGTGCACTATATTTGAAAAATTGATGTGAAGAAAGTTTGAATTTCGTGAAAATCATATAATATTTCTGACCACCCTGTATAACTTTCGAAGAAGAAGAGTATTTCATATGATAGAATATGCCACCGACTACCAACAGTCTTGATTGATTCCATAAATTCTTAGTAGTATGAATAATGGGTTTGTCTATAAAAAAAATGTCTGCATTTCATGAAAAACTGGTTCAATTTGGCAACGCCTTATCGGATTTTCAAAAATAAAAAACTGATAATTAGCCTAGAGGGATGAGAATTCAGATATGTTGAAATATATGGGGTCTTATATTTGAAAAAATTGATGTTCGATTTTGTGAGCCTTTCTTGCGCCCCTCGTATACGATATGATGTGGAACTATAATATTTTGAAAATTCCTATTGGTTCAGGAGATATTCAACTGACCCACTGGTCTAGGGACACACTGTATAGTGGTCTTGGCGATGGGAATGGTGGTACCAGACATTGTTATATCAGGCATATCGAGTTCCTGCTTCCTGAAGAAAATACAGGCTTGAGTTTTGATGAGTCAAAACTCTTTCATCCATAAAACGGCTAGGCTCTGGAATTCATTGCCTGAGAAAGTATTCCCAACAACATTTCCAATACCTACCTCCTGTCCCTATCCTCCCTAGGAACGCACGATGTTCTTTGAACATTATAGGGATTTCCTTTCGTGCGCTCCAAGCGATAAAAAAAACAAGATGTTGGTTCTCCAGGCTGTAATTCCAGCAAGATCGTCATTGACAGCGTTGACCTGCCTTCGTCGTGAGTTCCTAATTTATTGGGAAGAAATGAGAATTCTGGAAGAGAACGCAGTATGGAGAGTACTATCTTCTGCAAAACTGTGTAGGGCAAATAGTAACTCCCAACAGAACATCGATATGAAGTAGGTAAAATGTTGGTGTCAAAATTGATCCATGTAGAACACCGAAATTGATTGAAGTGATATTCATATTTTTATTTATTGAGTCGAAAAGAGAAAATCACAAATCAATCCAGAGAAACGAAGTAATTTTTTCTATGTGTGAGGGAACTGACAGTTTATCTTGATGATTAAATAATAGCAAACGTAGGATCCGAGAGTTCAACAATAACGCCCAATACTTGGAAAATTAGGTAGTCAATTTAGGGCGAATCAAATCGAATTTTCAACGCCATCCAAATGAATCTAATACAAAAGGACTATCGGAACAACTGGTTCTATCTCTGGAATTTTCAAAGGGCTGATGAGGTAATTCGATTCCTGTCCGGCGGATATTATTTCCTTTATACAAGAGACTCGTAGAAAGTCATTTAACGTTGGAAAATGTACCGATAATAATGCGTCGAGTTCTATTTAACTCTGTTTTTTTGCAGTCCGTTCATTCACAAAACTTCGACAGTGCTATTCTTTTATACTTATTTCACGCTATCAGGAAGGACGGATAGACAGGGTGTCTCCAAATAACTCGGAAAACATCCGGGACTGTGAAGTTTGAAAATTATTCCAAAATGGACATCAACTTTGGATCTTTAGATGTAACACGGACTCCTCGCCAAGCTTTCATTTTATGGCTTGACTCCCCAGCTGTGATCTCTGCTAGCTAGTTTTCTCTCAAACAGGTATCTCCATGTAGTGGTCGACGGAGTTTCATCTGACTCTCTTATCATAAATGCTGGTGTTCCGCAAGGATTAATTCTAGCACCAACACTATTTCTGCTCCATATCAACGATTTGTTGAAGCAACTTCATGTGCAGTACACAGCTTCGCGGATGATAGTATACCCTCCATACCGCCTTCTCTTCCAGGGTTCCAATACCAGCCAGGCAAACCAGAAACGAACGAGGGAGAGATGTTGACAACATAAATATGGACTTGGCAACAATTCTCGAATGGGGATCCAATAACTTGGTAGATTTCAATGCAAACAAAACACGAGCATGCCTTTCCTCTAGAAAAGCCGATCTCGCTGTGCCAAACATAAGCATGTCAGGAGTAACCATACCTTTGAAGACATCTATTTCGATGCTCGGTATTACTA